CATTGACAGTCCCTGCTCCCGATAATGCCCATTTTCGGGAGCAGGGACTGTCAATGCTATTCCACGGGATAGACTAGGCTCCTCATGTTCTAGTGATTTGTAAGTAGGCTGCATTGGACTTTGGGTTTTGTGTTGTAGGCCAGGCGGACAACACTCAATGTCAGAGGATAGCAGCACTATTCATCCACGTAGGTTATCTTTGTACGCTTGTTTTATTTCAGGATAAGATGACGTTTCAAAGTATCTCTTCTGTAGAAAAGGTGGTCGCATTAAGGGCATTTAATTGTAGAGTTTGTGCTACGGCACTGGTCAGACTTCCCTATTGCGCTTGCGGTAGCTCCCTGACGGGTAGGGCACGTACGGTTTAGCTTATGACGGTTCAAATGCTCGGCGAGTCGAAAGCTTTTCCCACAGTCGGAGTGGTGACAATTGTGCCGAGGTGGTGACCTCCCGTCAGACATGATTGACGTTACTTATCCTGAGTTACAGTTCATGTCGATAGCAAGTCACGAAGAGAGTGATTATGACGCATTTACTTTAAGTCGCGTTATGTCAACGGTGACGGGGTTTGTCTGGTGGCAGGAGAGGATGTACTAAATAATACGTCGAACATCAACCGCCTTGCTCAAGCCGCAGCAACATCTGCTAACCTACGAAGGAGAAGATCTACAACTTCAAGTTTCGTCTTGTATGTTGTGTTAGGGTGAGATTTCAATCTAAAATTGCGTTGCATTATAATGACATGAGGGAAAATATGGTGTTTTCGTTTAGCCGTTTGATGAGTTTCTCCTCCCTTTGATTATTCCCCAAAACTTTTTGTTATTGAGTAGTGGATCGCATTATGCTATGATTCGTCCTTCCGGAGTAGGTTGTATTACAACGACTAATTCAATTATTAATGTCTGGTCTTCAGCATGCTGAAAGCGACTGGGAAAAATTAAGCTATTTCAAGTTCACCTTCTCTGCCCTTACTCTTTACCCCTTCACAATGAAATTCCTCAAGAATGATGATGGTTCACTCATTGACCAGATTTCTACTCCTCGAGCTATTTTTGCAATATCTTTTCGACTTTTCCGAAGCAAGCGGGTCTAATATCAGGAGCATATTCCTATTCAAAGATGTATTGAAATCTGACACTATAGCGTTGAAAACCTCTGGCTTCAACACTCTCGTCATCTTCAATATCGGAATCCTCGACAATGGCGATATCATGTATTACTCTAACACTGCAGGCAGCAAGGACACTATCGTCGCAAGCAATAACGGCACTTACGTCGGCGGTGTAGCGCTTGCGGAGAAAGTACGCTCATTCAAAGAAGGAAACTCAACGGGCATCGATCGCGTCGAGATTTCAATGAATGCCCAGCATGTACGCGACTTAATGCGCACCCCAGGCCCAGTTGCGAATTCGCCTCTACACCGCAATTTCGAGGCCCTCAAAACAGCATGGAACCTCGACGCTGTCAATAATGACGACGAGTCCATATATGACGTTGCAAGCACAGTTGCATTCGCACGCATGTTAGGGACAATCGGCTATAACTACACAATTGCACCTTACACCAACTCCGCATTCTGGAGCAATGTCAAAACGAAGCTGAACAAAGGCCTTGAGAGGCCATTACTCGATAGGGTCTACCTACAATGCTATGATGGCGGCGCAGGTAACGATCCCAGAGGTTGGCAGAGCACACTTGGCATGAAGGTCACGCCGTTATTGTGGGTAGTCAATGATTCCAAGCCATCACAGGGCACTACAGCCGCTCAGGCACAAGCCAAATTTTCTAATTGGAATTCACAAAGTGCTCTCGCCGGAGGAGGTTATTGGAATGAATATGACATCGAGCGAATGAAATTATCATACAAAGCATATGGCGATGCTCTGCTGAAGGTTTTTCCATCATAGCTCGGGATCAAATTCGGCTATAAGAGTTCAGCGCCTACAAACACCTTGCTGAGATCCGTCAAGACTTGAAAGAATGAACATGCATAGCATTTACAGCACAACGTTGGATATACTATAACAAAAGAGAAATAGAAGTTTTTGGTTCGACTGGTTCGCGAGGTTTAGCTTCATCGCGGCAGGAATCTAAAATGTGGGTATACCTATACGTCTTCCTCCAATGATAGCGTTGACTACCTGGACCAGCTAACCTACCTACCGGCGTTGATTACCCGTTTATACCTAAGTACATAAAACCAAGCTATTCTGTAGGCCTCTTCTTATGGTAGCATGGCGTTACCTAATCACCGAGTATGTGCCGCTTGTTCGCAGTGATGGTGCTTGGGATCTTCATCCTGGATGTCTGGAGCGAGTCGGGACATCGTGACCCGGATAAGGGGTGGGTCGGGTTATCTACACTCACACAGAACCCACACAGCCAACAGCTAAGTGGTGCTGACCACATGATCAACCCCCGCAGCAAAGCCTGCATCTTTCTCTGATCTACACATTCGCGTTTACGCCAATGTCTCTTCACATGCGGGCTCTCAAGTGCTCGCAGCGTGTGAACGTCTCACTTACTATTTCAAGTTTATAGATGTATAGATGCCAAGGGATCAAAGCTAAGATTCCAGCTTCGGGTATGTTAAGACTGGCTGCTGTCAATTCGGCACACCTCGACGGAACACACTTTTGCGGGGTATGTACCACACGACAGTAAAGTATCAGCCGGATAAGCAATCCTGGTATTTATTGGCTCGAGGCCCATGCTAGCGCTCGGCACAGTAGAGCAAGTCCCACAAGAGCCACAACCAAACCTACGGCAAAAAGCAGTATCACATCCCAGTGTGCTTTCATTCCTTCCCTTTGTAGAAAGACGTGGGTATGCAGCAATGTAACGTCCCGCGGCTAAGATAAGGAAGGTCTCACCAGAAAATGGAGCTTGCCGAATCCTTGTCGGCCGCTTTCCGCTGGGGTCATCTGTGCGTGGCGAATATAATTTCGATGCAAGTAAAGAGTATGAGATTATGTTTAGATTGTGAATTTTGAGATCTTGTCACGCTCTTCCTGTCTCCCATTCTCTGATATTCATTGCGTTTAAACTGAGACGTCGGCCAAGATGTCGAAGCCAGAAGTGGTAGACGATATCGAGGGCGTCCGGCCAGTCGCCTCAGATCCGGAGAAAACCCCAGCGGGAGGTGCGACCGAGCGGTTTGGAGACCAGATCTCTCACGAGATGCTTGAGATCTTGGCTCCCAATGGCGAGGGTGATTATATTCTGGACAAGATCAACAACATGAGCGAGGAAGATGCGCTAGCTATTGTTCAGGAAGGCCTCGAGTTTCACTCGGATGACTGGAATTTTCCAGATGAGATGCGGCAGCGCATGCGAGCGTTATTGCAAGGACATAAACTTTACGGAGATTTTTATGACCGTGACTTGAGAATTGATGCTACCATGCTGCGATACTCCTCTCCTTATCCAGGAGTTCGTGCAGTCGCCGATCCGACTGAGCGTATTGACTTACCCGTGGAAACCGTCCGAGCATACTTCCTGGGTATTGGTTGGGCTGTCATTGGAACTTGTGAGTAGGCACCAAATTCTCTACCTTGCTGCGAAAGAAACTTGTGGGTTTTCAAGGCAATCTGAATGTTGTCTAGAGCTTACTGTCACGGGTTGGGTTACTAAATTGTTGAGACAATTGCTAATCTTTTGCCCTAGTCATGTCTACATTCTTCAACTCGAGATTCCCTTCCATCAGTAAGTCTAAGCCAGAACCTGTGGAATACCAGTCAAAAATACTCATACCAGGGAAGGTCTTAGTGGTTCTGTTATACAAATCCTACTGTACCCTTGCGCGAAATTTCTGGAAAAAGTCCTTCCCGACTGGGGCATTACAATTGCAGGCATCCGCCATTCTCTTAATCCTGGACCTTGGCACTTTCGAGAGCAGATGTTTGCAACTATCACATATAACATTGCTATATATACAACAAATAGCTATGGCATGATCCTTGTACAAAGATCTCCAGTCTACTACGGTCAGACTTATATCACGTCAGGATACATGATGCTCCTCACACTCTTTGTACAGCTAATGGGTATGGGCTTCGCTGGCTACTTGCGGCGCTTCAGTGTGTATCCTGTCAAAGCACTCTGGCCGACAATTCTCCCAACGATTGCCATGAATCGCACCTTAACTCGACCTGAAACGAGAGAGAATATCTCAGGGTGGACAATATCACGGTATAAATTTTTCTACATTGTCACTATAGGCATGTTTTTCTACTATGTAAGTCAATCAGAAACAAGCTATCAAGCCTTGGAAACGTCAAGTATGTGATACTAACTCCCTTTTGCTAGTGGTTGCCAGGCTTTCTCTTCAAGGCACTTTCAACATTCAACTGGATGACCTGGATAGCCCCGAGCAACGTGACTCTCGCTATATTGACAGGCTCATCCCTAGGTTTGGGCTTATTCAACCCAATTACCACCTTCGACTGGGTCGTGGCTTCATCGTCGTATGCGCCGCTTGCCCAGCCATTCTTCAGTACATGTACTATGTATTTTGGGGGCATCCTCGGTGGCTTGATAATCCTTGGAATATACTACGGTAATATGTATAACACAGCATACCTTCCAATCAATTCGTCCTCGGCCTTTGCAAATGATGGGACAGCATATGTTGTCCAAAATGTGGTCGTCAATAACAAGCTTGACCCGGATTTATACCAGCAATATTCGCCCCCATTCTATTCCGCCGGGTATATACTGACAGTAGGAGCAAATTTTGCATTCTACCCAATATATTTTCTATACATCATGGGTAACCAGTGGCGCACCATGCGCCAAGCTTACATCGACTTTTACAAAGGCCTAAGACATGGCAAGGGGAACTACGAAAGCCATATGGATGTGCACAGCCGCATCATGAGCCAATTCCCAGAGGTCCCAGACTACTTCTTCTTAATTATCATGGTTGGAGCTATCATACTCTCCATTATCTTTTTAAAAATCTACCCGCTTGACATTCCGATCTGGCTGGTCTTCCTCCTCATTGGCATCAACCTCATTTTTGCGGTTCCGCTATCGTTTTTATCAGCAACCACAGGGACCAACCTAGGTTTGGGAAGCTTAATTCAAGTTATCACGGGGTTGTAAGTCGCGGCTAGTTGTGGTGGTTGCCTAAGACTCGCTGACCGTTGAAAATGTAGTCTGTTGCCGAACAACCCCAACGCCTTTCTCTTTGGACAAACCTTGGGATCTTGGGCACTCGCTGGATATAGTGATAACTACGTCCAAGATCAGAAGATGGCCCACTATTCAAAACTTACTCCTCGCGCCGTCTTCAGGTCGCAAATTGGTACTATTATCATCACATGCTTCGTGGCGGTGGCGACGCAGAACTTCATCCTGAACAACGTTGAAGGGCTATGCACACCAAATCAGCCTAGTCGGTTTACATGTGCAAACGACGGCGCACCCTTGTATTCCAATAGCTTGATGTGGGGATTGCTTGGGTCGTCTCGAATGTTCAATTCTATCTATCCACTTCTCAAGTGGTGCTTCCTGATCGGCCTCGGAATCTCGATTGTCTTCCTCGTCGGACAAGGCCTTGGTCCCAAATATCTACCACCCGTCAAGGAAAAGCTGCGATTGAAATTGAGCCCTCGAGTCTTTGCAGTCCTTGACAAGACTCTTTTCCCATTTGTGGGATCGCTGTTGTGGCTGTAAGTCAAATACCAACATTCGAATGTTCCCCCGCGAATGACCACAAAATAAACTGATTCCTGGCACAGGAACCCCATTCTTGTAGTGCAGGGAGTGCAGCATTGGGCGCCCTCTAACATGTCATACAAGACTCCCGGTTTCATACTGAGTTATATCTTCATGTATTGGCTACCAAGACATCGACTAGCATGGTAAGTCATTGAATCCGGGAGAAGAGATCAACACCACACCTAGAAGGAAAGGGCGCTCCAAATGCGACGCTAATACTTATTCACAGGTGGGAGAAGTACAATTACACTCTCTCGGCCGCACTGACAGCCGGGGTTGCCGTGAGTGCACTGGTGATGTTTTTTGCTGTTGGGTATCATCCCAAGAGCCTGAGCTGGTGGGGCAATGATGTTAGTTGGGCTGGAGTCGACGGATCAAGCGTGGGCATTTTGCCAATTCCTGAAAGGGGATATTTTGGCCCTGACCGTGGAACCTTCCCTTAAGCAACGTCTACCATTTTGGGCCCTCCTACCCTGTAGGAGGTCTACTACAGCACATGGCTAACATGGCTCTTGACATATGACGTATAGACTGTTAAGACGCTTCCGAATCCTTTTTTACAGGGTTATGTTTTCTCCATTTGGGCTGGTCTCTGATGCCGAATTCACAGGTCATTCCAGACAAGTGAGGAACCAGTATCTTTAGTTGTCGGGGAATCTACTTAGTCCCCATAGTATTTGACACTGATATCATTGAAGCACTTTTCAATAAAGGGAAAAGAAGTGAAGAATCGTTTTCCGGCCCTAGTATAGTCCCGAAATCACCACTAGCAATGAGCCGTTCGCACCTCCTTTGATACCATGTGAGGCTTAAACACGGCTTTGTCCCCTGCTTTCCATTTTCGGTAGTCGAGGAACTAAGTGCCGCCGGGACGAGTCCAGTGGGTTTGCTTTTAGGGCGGAGGTGGGGCACCCGAAAACCTTCCCGTAGAAACTGCCCGAGGAGGCGAGGTACGTACCTTTTTTCTTTTCTTCCGACGATAGGGCATTTCCCAGCCACACGATCGAGCCTCACAGGTGGCGGCTGCACTACTACGCAGTAGACCACTCTACTGTAACATCCAGCATTGCGCCATCACCCATTCGCTGGCTTTTCGGAACGGGGCACTGACTGACACTGACACTGACACTGACACTGAATGGCACACCGGCCACACCTCCTCCAACACGCTGATGTGAAGAGCCAGGACAGACACCAACGAGACTTTCAGGCCCTGACAACTTGCATCATCTAACAACATCTTGAGGTCGCCATCGACTCAATTTCCTACTTTGCATTCTGCTGTCTCTGCAGAGTCGATCTATCGCCGAGAGTCGAGCTAGAGGGCCCGTCTCCCGCGTGCGGACACCTTCTCCACATTCTCTTCTGGGCAGGGTTCCGGCCTCGCCAATTTCGTCGCATCGTCAACCGCCCGCGCCGATCCTCCACATCAGCTCTTCCCGACGGCACTGCTGGAGCTATGCTGTGACCGAACCACCACCGCCTGAACCCTCACTCGCTTCTTACACCACCATTATCCGCTTCCGCTTCCGCTTGCTTTGCTCGTCACTTCATCAGGCAATCTCTCGATTTTCAAGGCTCATCTGCCTGAGCTCCCCGCTGTCCGTCTAAGCAAGGGCTGCACCTCGGGCCTTTGCTGTCAGCTTGTCCTCCTGCCACCACACCGGTTGATGCGCCGAGCTACGAGGACAAAATGTCAGCACCTTGTATGTCCCACCGGTCCCCGAGCATATTTCTCTCGCCACAACATGGCTAATTGTACGCAGTGACCTCGGAGGAGAAGTCCCAGTACACGGGGATCATCGATGCGATCCTCGCGACCGCCGATCTCGCCACGATCTCGCGGAAAAAGGTCCGTCAAGGACTCGAGAGAGCCCTCGGTGGTAAAGACTTGAGCGAACAAAAGGTATGCAATGCCTCTATCCGTGACGGCCCTTCCCCACACGCTGGAAGCTTAGACTCACGAACTACTGCCCAGATCGCGATCAAGGCTTTGATCGAAGCTCGTTTCGATGCCATCTCTTCCGTTCCGAGCGTGGAGACCGCCGCCACACCACCTCCCGCCCCTCTGCCCTCAACCGAGCGCGCGGCAAACGGTCATTCGTCGCGAGACTACGACGAAGACGAGGCGGACGCCGAGATCCAGGTATCTTTCCCGGCTGAGCCGGCCAAGAAGAAGCAGAAGCGCGAGTCCACGGAAGATGACGACGCACGACTAGCAGCCCTGTTGCAGGCGCAGGAGAACCAGCTTGGCCGCTCTCGAACGACCAGGGGAGGAGGCCCGAGCAAGGTCGTGAAGAACAAGAAGAAGACACCTAAAAAGAAGAGCGCATCGAAGATCAAGGCCGACGACGACAGCGACCTAGATGCAAGCGGAGATTCTGGAACCACCAAGAAGCGCAAGGCCGGGGGTGGGTTCCAGAAAGAGTTCAATCTCAGCTATCCGTTGGCCGAGCTTTGTGGCACCAGCCAGGCATGTTCTATTTGCTACTCCCTAAGCTTTTATAAGCGTCTGCTAACATATCTTCCTGCACAGCTATCGCGCCCCCAGGTTGTCAAGCGGCTATGGGAGCATATCAAGGCCAACGAACTCCAAGACCCCAGCGACAAGCGGCAAATACGCTGCGATGAGAAGATGCAAGCAATATTTAAGCAAGCCAGGGTTGACATGTTCCAGATGAACAAGCTTCTTGGGAACCAGCTCTATCCCCTTGATGAGTGAGGATCTTTTCCACCACCACACATCGAGATACAGGAGTGTTGCGTGGGAGGCGTCCCTCGGTGGCGTTGCTTTGGTAAGGAGCACTTGGTGGTGTCACATTTTATTTTGCAGTCTCCTGGATCAGATATGACCGTTGGGAACGCCCATTTTCTGCACAACCTCGCCGTGCAGAGTCGAAGAGGCGTTGTCTTTTTTTTTTTTTGTTTTTTTGCTATGACTTGATGAGAGCAATATGGAACTCACATGGGAACGGCGTGGTGATCTTCGACTTGAGTATCTTGCTTGGGGGTGCCATTTCTTCCGCCCTCTACGTGGTATCAATATTCTTCGACCGTTTTAACCACCTGGAGGCGGATGTTTGCTGAGGGAGGAGGTAACGGGTGAACTGCCGTGGACAATAGTTTCGATATTAGGGAGGCATATAGCTCACAGTTGAGGTTAGGGACAGTTGGGTGGGAGTTACTCGGTGCCGGCCTGCTCGACACGAGCCAATGTCATCTGTTCCAGGCATTGGCGATCCAGGTAGGAAATGAAGAGATATAGTAAATATAGTGACTGCCTAGTGACAATCCTCCAAATCCTGTCCTATTCATTGTCTATTACTGTTCTAATGGCCTCTCCAACCAGAGCTCAAAACCCTTCATGTGTTTGTTTCTTTGTACAACGATTATCCCTAAGCTGCTGAGCCAGCAAAGAGTAGCGAGCTGACTTGCAGAGATGACTGGCTATGGCTCATCTCAAACATGCCAAAGAGATCTCTTCTCTCGGGGTGACTAACAGGCCAGGCTATATGATTACTACCAATGAAAAGGATCAATTGCTTTGCTCCGCCACCTGCACCCAGCAAACCAACCTGGTGGTTCAACATGGATCTCTCCCCTTGTCAGCCAGGGCTTTAAAGCGCCAGTTCGCCAGCAGGGATAGCCTACCTGAGTGCAGTGTAGTGCTGTGCTGCGCTTTGCGATGACGCATCGGAATTTGGATGACAGGCCCGGCCAGACCAGTTTGTCCTAGCCCCAGGGCCAGTCTATCACTATGAGAATGCTAATGTCCAGTTGCCCTCTTACCAAATGATTGGACAGTTGGTCCGTGCACGCCACACATTCATCCCACTTCCTATCGGCCATCATCTGGCAAATTCTATGGCTGATTAACGAAAAGCTGCCCTCGATTGCCCCGCCGTCGACGACCTCAACCTTGACCTTGCAACCTCCCTCCTCAGCCTTAAAGGCAGCTTGGTTTCCACCAAATCCTTCTGTGATAAAAATTGCTATCACAGATTCAGTCAATCACAGGAGTATACAGTACATATCGTCGCGATCCAAAGCTTCCTCGCACCTCAAGCAGATCCCAAGAAATAAACTAGAGGCATACATCAAGACTGATAGCTGCCCCGTTGCCTCGAACACTTGCTGAGAGAATGGCCTCGGCCAACGGCAACATGGCGACAAATCAAGCCGCAAGCTCCGACAATACCCCAGGTTCCGCACGCGCTAGAAGCGACGGGACAAGAGGCCGAGGTCGAGGAGGCAACAAAGGCCGTGGACGGGGACGCGGTGAAGGCGGCGGCGGCGGCGGCGGCGGTCGTGGAGGCGGGGCAGGTCGAGGGCGTGGAAGAGGAAATGCTGGTCCTAATTCTACAACCGCACCAGATGCAATAGAGAGTTCAACTACTGAAGCTTCGCAACCGACTCAACCTGGCTCCAAAGATGCCATCCTACGCCCCCGCGACGCGACAGCCAAGGCGGATGGAGTCGAAGGCGACGACGATGCTGATGCTGAAGTCTGCTTCATCTGTGCCAACCCCATCATCCACCACTCAATTGCGCCGTGCAATCACCTTACTTGTCACATTTGCGCCCTCCGTATGCGAGCACTTTACAAGAACAAGGATTGCGCACATTGTCGGGTGAGTACAGTCCCAACTCATATTCTTCGCGAGGTGATTTACTAACTCAATATTGTTGTAGACACCAGCACCCCTCGTCGTTTTCACCGATGACCCGGCGAAACGTTTCGAAGAGTATACAGACGCCGATATCTCAAGTACAGACGACAATATTGGTATTCGGTACGCGAACGAGGACATCGTAGGGGATACAATCTTACTACTGCGATACAACTGTCCTGATGAATCGTGCGATTTTGCTGGCCTCGGCTGGCCCGACCTCCATCGCCATGTCCGCTCAGTCCACCACAAGAAAATGTGCGACCTCTGCACGCGAAACAAGAAGGTGTTCACCCACGAGCACGAACTATTTACTGACAAGGAGTTGGAGAGACATATGAGGCATGGTGATGACAAACCGGGCGCAGTCGACCAGACTGGGTTCAAGGGGCATCCGCTATGCACCTTCTGTGGAGAGCGATTTTACGATGGCGACAAGCTCTATGAGCACTGCAGGAACAAGCACGAACGTTGCTTTATCTGCGATCGAAGAGACTCGCGCCAACCCCACTATTTCCTCAACTACAATACCTTAGAAGAGCACTTTCGCAAGGACCACTTCCTGTGCTTTGATCGCGAGTGTCTTGAGAAGAAATTCGTGGTCTTTGAGTCAGAGATGGACCTCAAAGCCCATCAGCTCAGCGAACATGCCGACAGCTTGTCAAAAGATGTCCGAAGGGACGCAAGAGTGGTCGATATTTCTGGCTTTGACTACCGCCAGACATACCAACAAGAACGGAGAGGTGGAGGTAGTAGCGGCGGCGGCGGTGGTGGCAGTACGAGAGAAGGACGAGGACGTGGAAGGGATCCGAATGCAGAGGCCTTACCCAGGAGCTCTGCACAACCTCTGCGGAGAGACGAGATCGCCTTCCAGCGGCAGATGGCGATCCACTCTGCGCAGTCCGTATCCAACCGTACATTTGGCGGCCAGCTGACATCAACCGCCAATTCATCTGGCCCAACGCCTACTACTCGAACAAGTGCTCCCGCTCCTCAACAATCACAACCACTTGCCGACGCCTTAGACTCTCTCACAATAACCGATACCGCTTCTCTTCCTCCGCAAGAGCGGGCACGCCTTGTCCGTCATGGGGCAGTCATTGAGCGGGCGTCCAACCTCTTGGGCAACGACGCCACCAAGATGACGACATTTAGATCCCATATATCAGCATTCCGGACTGGCGAAATGTCAGCGCCGCAACTAATCGATGGATTCTTTGCGCTGTTTTCCGACACCAGCTCAAACTCGCTTGGCACCCTTGTCAGGGAGGTGGCTGACCTCTTCGAGGACAAGGGCAAGGCAGACGCACTACGGAAGGCATGGCATGATTGGAGGGCAATCAACGAGGATTATCCATCACTACCTGGCCTGGGAGGCATGCACGGTGCTACAACATCGTCAAGTGGTTGGGCGAATGCTGCTGCGTCCTCACCGACCACTCATCCAGGCTCATCAGCTGCTCAGCAGAAGCATACAACCCGAGTACTCAAGCTCAAGAACAGCACACGAAGAGGCAGCGCAGGCGGCCTCAACCCAGTACCAACGCCGGGACCAAGTACTACAAGCGTCACTTGGACTACGACAGCTCTGCCGTCCGCGTCCTCATCCTCTGCGGCTTTCCCGGCACTCCCTGGCGGAAACAAGACGTCGAGACCCTCACAGCCGTCGTGGATTGGCGGCACTGGCTCCGCTACCACGGCTACACCTCGCACTACTACCTCAGCCGCCCCAATTAGGAGAACAGGCGGTGCTAGTGCCAATAGCGAAGATGCATTCCCAGCGCTGCCGGCCGCACCGAAGCCACTTACCACAATCTTTGGCTACGGGACTGGCGCTGTGAGACGAGATCTTGGCACGGGAAGAGGCACGGGCTTCCAATGGGGAGGTTCTTCAGCACCAGAGGCCACGGGCTCGTCAGAAACGACTGGCGATGCTGATGCGGAGGGTGGTAAGGGAAAGAAGAAAGGAAAACAAGGGAAGAAGCAAGTGCTCGTTCAATGGGGTTGAAACACTTGAGATGTGCAGATTATGTCGGATTATAGGACCTGCAGGATTCTGTCCTGTCACTCACACAGTGACGGTGCGATCAGAGCCACGAAGCCATGAATTATATGATGTATAGACGAGGGCAAATACAATGTCACGTTGGACGAATTGCTATAAGACTCTAGCCACACAATTGCTCAGAGTTTGTAGCCAATAATATCATTCCTGAGATGGTATACTCATCAATTATAACGTGAACTAATTTCAACATGTCGATGATAGATCGAGCCTTTTGTTACCTGCCAAACTTCTTCAACTCGAGATATCTCAATGGTGGAAACGAGATCAACGCAAATCCGCACCCAACCCACACACCAATATCAGAGCCGCCAGCTAACTCCGCCAGTCGTCCTACGTACCAAACCTGGTACATGCCCAGCACGGCGCCAAGCCAGCCAAGCAGGAACGATATCAGAGCCGCAATGCCAAGAGGCAGGTACGACTTGTCCTCCCATCTAGCCCAGTCGAAGCCGAGCTTCTTACGACGGAAGATCAAGTGTTCCTGCAGGACGATGCAGATCATGATCTCGACCCAGTAGCCCATCAACGCGAGGAAGTTCTGGAAGACAAGGAACAGGTGGTCTCTCCCGGCCAGAGCACAGATCAGCTCGATCAGAATCATGACGCAGGACCAGACCCAGCGCGGAACTGCCTTGCCGTATCGACCTAGGACCTGGGCGCCTAGGGCGGCGGAGTATGTCCCCGGAATGCTGTTTGCAATGACGCCGAGAGCAACGACGACGGAGCAGAACTTTCCAAAGCCGTTCAGAGGTCCATAGCCAGCGACAATGAGAGCACCGGTTGAAACACTGTTCGCGTCAGCCCAAGCAGGGTGATTCGCGATCCCCGAACCGAGCCCGATTCCAAGCACGTACACAAGAGAGAATGACAGCCACAGCCCGGTCATGGTTAGCAAGAATATTTTCAGCCTGGATGTCTTCTCCGGGTAGTACACGTAAAAGTCAGAAGCTGCAGCTGCCCACGAGTTGGGGACATAGAGGCAGAGGGAGAGAAACGACAGGCGGTTGGCTGCCACTGTTGATTTGTCACCGATGGAGGTTGCAGATGCGTCGAAGTATGGGCCAGCGCAGCCTACCAAGACGAACAGGACGAGAACCTGGGGGATCCATGCAAACCTGTTGGATCGTTAGCAACGAGAATTAAACGCTGGAAATAGGCTATGGATTACCTCTCGTAGTGATGGAAAAGCGCCATTCCAAAGACTGCAACGACCCAGCTAACGAGAGAAACGACAACAATCCCTACAGCAATTGTCATAGTTCCCCCACTGACTGCAGATAGCATTTGACCTCCAATGATACAGTCAATTGTACAATAGCCGACCATCAGAACAATATTGAGAAAGCACGGGATTTTAGACGGCCAATACCCCATAAAATAACGCGCCACCACCTGTGTGGCATTAGTTCAGAAGAGTTCATACATCATATGAGATATTGAGCGCACCATTGTCCTATTTCCGCTTTGAGGACCCCATATGCTCATGTAGCTCGTCGACAAGCTGCCAATGAGCCCTCCAAAGACAGCACACATGGCGCTATCCAGGAAACCCAGGCCGAAGACAAGGGGACCAAAGAGTCCAACGGCAAGATTATTGACCGAGACATTGGCACTGAACCATAGCAAGGCGACCTGGATATCACTGGCGAGAGACGGCGGCTGGCGCTCTTCAGGCGGTACTCGCGTGATTCCACGAGCTTCGAACCCAGCCAGGCCTTCAATGCGCTCGTTCAGCTGGCGAAGGAAGGAGGGGACGGGGATCGTCAGGTCCAAGCCCGCTTCTTCTTTAGAAGAGCTATCGCCGACAATTTGAATGCTGTCTGCTCTCTTTTCGACGTCCTGCAATTGAGACGCCATTATGGGCTTAGATTAGATCAATCTTTGCTCTCCAGGGCTGTAGGACAGAAGAAAGCAGTAATCCTCGCTTGCATGTCTGGAGCTACCTCCATGACCTCTTTATCTGTGGCATTAGGCGGGGAGCCTATACAGTTCGATAAGCCTACGATTATATGCTTACCGCTCTCAGATGTAGCTTGCATACAGAAGCTTTACCAATGCTGTACGATAGAATGCTTGTCTGCCCTCCATTGGGCAGTTCAGCCGGATAGATATGCATAAACCCATGGCTCCAATGCACATGTTGCAGTGGCGGCGTGGGTGACATTCGTAGTGAAGCTCCTGTCTTTAATGGGTGGTTGGAGGGGTCGCCGTGCAGGAGCGCCACTGCGAGCCATCAGTGCATTCAGTGAGCAGCACAGACAGGGTCACAGGGATTAGGAGGAACACTTTCCGAACCCCCGTTGCGACAGCGCAGCATAGTGGGACTACAAGGACCTTGGACGCGGAAGAATGCAGATTTCAATCGTAAATACACGATAATCATGATACTTGTCTTGAACGACTGTTCATGAGTCCGAGAACCAATTCTATGAGCGAGTTCAGGGGTACTATCAACACACTGATGTCCGCGGATCGCCCAGACTACGAGTGCCATGGTGAAAATCAAGTCTCACTGTACAACATGATATTTGTTAGTTCCTAGTTAGTCATAAAGAGCCATTACTTTCTATTTCGGACATGTCTCATGAGAGATAGATGTAGTATGCACCACATGTATCCCACTCTTATTATCATCCGCAATCCCGCTTTCCACCGTCGTTTGTCCATGAGGTTCCGCATCGACAAAGGTCCAATTCGCCTTATGTTGCCAAGTTGGCGTGAGCTCCAGAGCCTCTCCCCTGTTATTCATTCCTGGTATTGTCCCATTACCGTCCCATATCCTCTCCTCACTTGCATTGCCCACACTCGATGTCTCGGCATCTACTGGCCGACTATTTCTTTTCGTCTTATCCCACACGGTCTCCGTGTGCGTGTCCCATAGTGCCCTTCCGCCGGGAAATCGTTTAGTTCTTGGTCGTATACTGCTATTAGGTTGGTCTGGTGATTGCTCGCCAACAAGGCGAGACCACGTATCCAGATGAAAGACGCGCCGGAACAGTGGCCAGCAAAGGGGTATATTCCCGACGTAGACCGCAGTTGCCACTTCGCCAACATACCAGTATACGTATCGTAGATCGTTTGGATTTGAAAAGTTGAAGTACCGGTTCAAAACGGCGGCCAAGATCTGTCCAGGAGCTCATGGTTAGCCAATAGCAAATACCGGCGTTTATGTAGGAATACTCACATTGAGCACGCCTAGTCCAAGAACAAGACATAGCACGACTTTTCGCTTCCGTGGCAACTGGCTGCGGATGATGATTGGGATGGGAATCGCCAAAAGCATCAAATCGGACGAGATGTTGAAGGTTGTTGCAAATATCATGTGGTTATAGTAAGTTGCGCATTGTGCTAGCAAGTCAGTGATTAATCTGACGAAATATCCCGCGAGTAGATCGCTTGGAACGGGGATTCGTACAGTATTTTACTGGAACGCGCCAGTATTCGTCGATAGGAGTACACCAGTAGGTTAGACAGAGCATGGTAACTAGTATGTAGCCCACGATACAGAACAGGCCAATCATCTTTACAGCTAAATACTCTTTATCGAACGCAAGCCTATCAGTATTTGGTTAGCAATGTCAGTGCAAAGGTCGAGTGACCTGTATAGAGCACTCACGTCAACCTGTGGTACAGGATCAACAAACATGCCTTGACAAGCCAGACGGTAGCAAGAGTGAACATTTCCAAGGCGAGTGTCATCTTGCTGCCATAAACTGCTCTATCCACTTCCTCAGGTGTGAGAGATGCGGCGACCTCGGGTGACATGTAGTTGCTTCCATTCTTTGCAACTTCGTTCACAGCCCAGATGTTGGCTGTGAAGGTACACTGAATGGAATAGTTATGTTAGGTGGCGACCTATGTACTGCACATAGTTTTCTCTTACAGCAACAAAACACATGAGATAGTCCTCAATCTGCAACTTGGTCCATCCTCCTAGTTTCATTCGACGTGAAGCGCTAATAGGGCATCTCCGTTTAGTGAATCTACTCTTGTTTGCTGGGGAATATCGAACCGCTCGCTGATCAAGCAAGCCGGTGACATTTTTCGCAGGCTGGAAACTCACAGTCGACAGGCAATTAATATCATCCCCAGCGCGTAGAGACTCCATGATTCTGCGGCGAGGCCGTCGACGAAATCGACCATTGTCTTGACGGCATTCGATTCGGTCGGAACTCCGCAGTCGTCCAGACGACCGGGCCGGATGGTCAGGGTGATTTACTGGAGAGAGGAAGTTCGCGGTCATCCACATGTAGTTATTATTTGTGCTGTCGAGTCCATTAAAATCTAGCTACTAGGACTGTCTTCGGTGCCCCCAACCCGCCCGGAGCAGATCCTGTCTCAGGTGGCATCCCACGCTGAGACTTTCCCAGGGAATGACTGAGCCCTGTCAACAGCGCCGAATTAAGCCTACAGCGCCGTCAAGCCATCCAGGGACATTACATTACGGCACGAGCAGACCGGGTCACACCCCCGTAATAGTACATACAGGGGCTGCTGATTCCGCCGACATGTCAAAGTCCACGCTACGCGAAGTTAGCGAAGCTATCCCCAAAATGCCGACGCCAATTTGAAGAGAGTATGGGTTCCGTGGGATGGACTCGGGTTAGCGGGCTTTTGCCCCTGTTCGCGGGAAGCGGCCTGCTCTCCAATTGGGCTATCCGCATGAATAGCGGCGCCGGGCCACTAAATATCTCCCCGGTTTGGAAACGACATGCCTTGAAGCCATTGCCGGCCGGGGGGTTCTTCAGCTGTTCTCTTATCAGCCAGCAGCAGTGATCAGACACTCTTCTGGAAAACGCCAGTTGAGTAATTGATAGCGATAGTCATTGCTCTCCCCTTATCTCGCTGGTGTCTCATACTTGGGTAGGCCGCCGCCTTTCATTTGTGTTACAAACACACGGCGAAAGGATGGTAGGGTCATCCATGCCCGCGGCCGAGTTTGCAAAGCGCGACTTCGATTTCTTGATTGTCGGGGGTGGTACGGCCGGCTTGGCAGTCGCCGCCCGCCTCTCGGAGGAAAGCAACTTGACCGTCGGTGTGATGGAGGCTGGGCCCGCCGTCTTCGGTCATGACGCGATTGACATACCTGGGAACTACGGTCAGACCCTAGGCACGGATCTGGACTGGCAATTCTCAACTACCCCTCAGCCGGGCCTCGGGGGACGATCGTTAGACTTCCCTCGAGGCAAAGTCATGGGGGGCACCTCGGCCTTGAATTTCATGACCTGGAATCGCGCAAACAAGCAAGATTACGATGCTTGGGAGGAACTAGGAAATAGGGGCTGGGGGTGGAATGCTTTGCTGTAAGTTGTTATCTTTTCAATCATCAATTTCTAGCTTGTTTGTTATCAGACCGGGGTGTTAGGTAGGTGCCAAGGGTTCTTGCACATATAGAAGGGATCGCCGCGGATTTTCCTGGGGCAGAGTACGCAGTGATCAATTCTACTAAATCCCGGTCCGGACATTGAATTCGCGATAATGAGGTCACGGATCTGAATGAAGACAATGCCTTGGGACTCATACTGAACTAGTACAGTCCTTATTTTAAGAAGTCTGAGACTTTCTTCGAACCCGAGCCTGAAACTCAGACTCAACACAAAGCTATATACGATGCCCAAGCCCTTGGGGCCAGTGGACCTATTCAAATCTATTATCCAAAGGAGTATTACGGCGGCCATGCCCTCTGGCACACCACGCTGAACTCGCTGGGGATTGAGACGAACGAGGCACATCTATCTGGATCGAATGTGGGGGCATGGACTAATGTCTGCTCCGTTGATCCCAAGAGCGGCAAGAGATCGTACTCCGCGACGGCATATTATCTCAAGAATGCATCGCGGCCGAATTTGTCAGTCTTGACAGAAGCTCTAGCTGAGGAGATTCTACTGGAAGAAGTGAGTGGAGAATGGGTGGCCAAGGGCGTTCGGTTCCGCCATGGCTCCGTTGAGTATATCGTTTCCGCGTCCCGTGAAGTGATTGTGTGCTCTGGGAGTGTCCAATCGCCCCAACTGCTTGAGTTATCTGGTATTGGAAACCCTACTGTTCTCGCCAACGCTGGCATTCCTGTGAAAGTGAATAGTCCAAATGTTGGGGAGAATCTGCAAGAGCATATGAGTAAGTGCTTCCATCTTCACTTGTCTTGCTGGTGACTCGCTGACTAGTATATAGTGACTGCTATGATCTTCGAAGTTGATCCAACTCTCCCAAATCCCGATGATTTGAAGGTAGATGGAAAGCTGGCCACGGTTGCCCGCCAACAATTTGAAGAGTCCAAGTCAGGTCCTCTGAGCATCCTGGCTTGCTCAATGTGCTACCTACCGCTCGAAAAGGTCGTCCCCCATACGATTTTACAGTCAGTCGCAACAGCATCTCGGCCTCCAGATCAAACGTCCTCTTCGCGACAAAGCATCCTCCACAGGCGCTTCAGTCAGCACAAGAACTTAGGCCAAGTGGAATACATCTTCGATCTCGGCAACTGGAGTTCTCAATTCAAGGCTGATCCGTCCAGCGGCAAGAAGTATGCCACGATGCTACAGATACTCCAGCATCCATTTTCAGTGGGCAGCATCCACATCCGCCCTCCAGCCCCTGGCTCCTCCAAGGTGACAGCCTCCGACAAGCCCTTGATTGACCCCCAGTATTATACTGGCGCTTTAGGCCATCTGGACCTGGAAATAATGACAGAGTGTCAGCGGTTCGCCGAAAAGATCTGCAGTACTCAGCCTCTAGCTAACATCATTCGCGAGCGAGCGTACCCCCCGCCCTCCTTAGCGGACGACGAGCTCCGTGACTGGGTTGTGCAAAGCACGATAACAGACTGGCATCCCGTCGGAACATGTTCGATGGGAGGGCATGAGGGCATTGCGGGCGGTGTTGTCGATGACTCGCTGAAGGTGTACGGAGTGAAGGGCTTGAGGGTGGTTGATGCAAGCATAATTCCCCTTCAGATTAGCGGTCATACGCAGGCGACGGTGTATGCTATTGCGGAGAAAGCTGCAGACATGATCTTGCAGAGTTTGGAATGACAAACAATTTTCACAGCAGAGCAGAGATGCACACGCATATCAAGCAGCGCTAGGAAGAATATAAGGAGTATCGTTACAAGGAGCGAATGAGCCAACCAGAGAGGCACGACTTTATGGGTGATGATAGATTATCCTACTGCTACTACTATCTAGAGCGGGACCCAAAAAAAAAACATCTTCCCAGATCACGATAATAAAGTTCTAGCTCAAAGGTTTGCAGGTTCATAATATTCCCTGAAACGGTCTGTCTCCTCCCAGCGAACTTCATAAACAACATTCCAACATACGATGAGGAGGTTAGGGAATTTGCGGGTCCAAAAGCCCAGGTAGCCTTCTGGCAGCGGGCCAACAGTCTTCTTCAATGAATCTGGCATGTCTTCATAATGATTGCGTTTGTTCCTCAACGCACGGAGGAGGTCCAAAAGCCTTGACCCAGTATATTTTCTCTGTTTGCCCAAGGAGTCGACGAAATCCTTCGGTAACTGCTTCAAGAAGTCGCCGCGGATAGTCTCCGAAGCGTGACGTTCAAGCTCTTGCAAAGCTGGTGACGGAGGGTCTCGTGGCTCCTTCTCAAAGTGATCAGAGACATCACAGAGGAAGCTAAGCCTCTTCTTTGCCGACCAGAAGAAGGGATGCGCCATGACATCCTTTGCATTTGGTCTTCTTCTCGGTTCAGCATTGAGCATAGCCGAAATCAAATCCTGAGCCTCGAAAGCGTAGTCACCCAAGACATCGAGCATACGAAGATTGTAGTTACCCTTCCGAATGTTGACCTCCCGCATGTAACGATCGCCACAATCAAAGGGATGGGAACCTTTAGTGAGGACGTAGTAGAACACTAGACCAAGGGAGAAGATGTCAATTGCGCGAGTTGCGCGCCGGTTAGGCATGAGGTCCGAAGACACCAAGTTGCTGCCGGTGCCGCTGTGAGTCGAGCTTCCGGCATCAATCATCGTGCCAGAATCTCGAGCATCATCGTCAAGGAGCAGTTCTGGTGCTCGCCATCCCGAGGTGCCTGCAGCGTGGGCGGTAGTGGCGCCGAAGGATGATTGTCCGCCCTCTAGCTTCTTACACAGGCCAAAATCACTGACAAGCAAACGGGGCCGACCATGCTTATCCATATTGACAAGAATATTCTGTGGTTTGAGGTCTCGGTGGACAATGCGCAAGGAGTGCAGGTGATTCAGACCATTGGTAATCTGGTAGAGGACCCCTGGTAGATCTCGCTCACCAGCTTGCGCGAGATCGCGGAAAATGTGTGGCTTCTCAACAATGTCTGCGAGTGATGCTTGACAAAGCTCCAGAGCTATGTAGAGGAAGGCATTGCGTTGCTGTTGTGCGAAGTATCGGATGACTAGACAGAGACAGTTAGTGGGAGATGATGCGTGAAACCCGAAATAAGTACTAACCGTTGGGGTGATCATCACTTTCTCGTAACAGTCGCGTCTCTTGAGACGCAATGTCATAAAACTGGATCAACATTCTCTTCACGGCAACTTCTCGGCCGTCCCATTTGCCTGCGAACACCACGGTGCCATTGCTGCCGGTACCCAGCTGCTGATCCTCGTTCACTTCTAGACTGCCCATCTTGAGAATAGGCCCAGAGACCTCTTCTACGTCGTTTGGCACAGTGATGATGTCTGGCTCAGGGCCACGTGGTTGCTCACCCAGTTTCTTGGCTTTGTTGACAGCCTCTTCAACCGTGACTATGACCGGATCATCGTCCCGTGATTGTGAGTCTTCACGCTTATTCTTACCTTTGCGATGTCGCACACCACCGCGACGACCCCTGTGTGTCTTCTTCTTTGCAGGTGTGACCCCATCAACCTGATCATTTGTTTTGCCTTCGCCAACCAAGACGGATTCATCAAATGTCACCGAACGCGTGGTCTCCTTATCGGACGAGTCTTCGTTCAGCTGCTCAGTTTTCTCTGTCTGACCAGACTCTTCCACGACTTCAGCGGACTTCTCAGAAGGCTTCTCTGCCGGTGCGTCCTCGGTGTTGAGTGCCTCGCGCTCACTCACGAAGCTTCCTTCAGGCACGGGTTCGAGGAAGAGATGTTTACTCTTGCTCTTTGCCCACTTACCCAATTCCTTCCGGTACCAGAAGAAAAAAGACACGAAGAGAATGATCATGACAGGATTCTTGACGAAGTCCACGATACTATCGGCAGCGATTTGAGGCAGAGTCTTCACCTTGTCAATGATTGTGGGGGGCTCCGGCTCAGCTGTCGGCAACGTAGGAACTGCAGAGTTGTTGTCCGGATCCTCGGAAATTGGAGGAGTCAATGTGCCTGGAGGGAGAGTTGGCGGCTGTTGTTTTATACCCCGCCATGCATTACCTAGGGAGTGCGTTCCTACCAAGGCTTTGGATATCTGGGCCTCGTTCATCATGTCCCATGACTGTTGCAGATCGAACCAATCTCTTTGATTGAGCTGAGCCTCAGGGGCGTCGATGATCAGAGGGTAAGCACGTCCGGACATAGCGTACCAGCTGCCATTCTGTGTCTGATTCAAGAAAATGCTGCTACTGCGTAGATGACCTAGAGTATCATCCTTGTCTGGCGGCGGTGGCTGTGGAAGAATGATGAGCTCTGGGTTGCTCTCGGGTGGAGCACCCCATGGCCGAGCAACATCAAACACACGAACGACAGGCGAAGTGAAATCCTCGGCAAAGTATGGTTTAGCATTTCTTGCGTGTCGTTCATAATTGAATCCGTAAAGCTTGCCATCGTGTCGACTAGTGATGTAACGATTGTCCATGGTCGAATGGTACTGAAGAAGTAGATCATTATCAAAGTTGTTAGGGCCCCATTCGGAGAACTTGAGTGTCGCGATAGGACGTGTGTCCTTGTAAGCGATGCCGACAGTGTACTCAGTTCGACCAAGGGTAATTGTGCCGCTATTGCTGCATTCAGCACTATCCGGGTCGATGAGGGCATTGGGTCGTAAGCAACTGTCCTGTTCATTGACCTGGGACCCGCCAGAGCCAAACCACCTCAAAACCCTGCCTGTGGCAGCATCCAGAGTGACCATTGTCGTGCGTTTGTCTCCCGTGTACATGACGGGTGGATCGCCGTCGCTAAAGGGGGTCAAGTCTTCGACAAGCTTCTTCATGGTGAAGCTGGTCCGGACCAAGCCTGTGGCACTCTCAGGGATCCACAGGTATAATGAACCGTCCTTTGTGGGTTCGACAGCCCAAATGTAGTGATCGATTGGGTGGTAGTCGTCATCGAGGACAGACACGTTGGCTCGATGGTGTATTGTCTCGACCATGGGCTGCTCGACCTGCAGGCGCCAGCGTTCTTTGCCGGTCCTGCGGTCGCTGGCGTAAAGATCTCCATCGATGGTCGCCAGCAAAACAAAATCTTCCACTTCCCAATCCTCCAGACTCCGCGCAATATGCGGCGTGGAGACCCCGGCCCCGACTGAGGAGGGCAGGGATTGAAGTCTGGCGGGTGGTGCTCGAACGGACTGTCCCGGAGCCAAAGTAGCGATAGCGCTCGCATCGTCAGGAATTAGAATATTCTCAGAGTTGCGTTTCTTGTTTTTGGTATTATTGTTGTCGTCGTCGGTGTGAACGACAGAGTAGGTATTCTTGCGTTGAATATGGGGAGTCTCGATGACTTCTTGGGTGAAGGCAGTCGCTGCAGGATTGCTGAGGACTCGATCCCCCTCGAGGGGGGACTCTTTGCGGGATCTACCTCCTCCTCCATCTTGACGGGATCCACCAGCAATTATAGGAGCAGCGATGGGCTGCTGCTGCTGCTGCTGTTGCTGCTGTGCTTCTGCAAGCTGGAGCCAGGGCAGGAGGAAGAAGGCGAATGCCCAGAGATATTTGCGTTGTTGGGCGCCATGCCGTCCTTGGTCAGGAGGCCGCCGCATCATCTTGAGGACAACAACGCTGACGTAGCGGTTCGACGGAGAGGCTCGTAAAGGCTTTACATCAAGACCATTGGCTAGGTGGTCTTATCCTCGATCAAGGACATCAGCCCATGGAAACCGGATTTCGTCCAAGGGAGACTATGTGCACGAGGGAAGTCGAGAGCACAGCAGTGAGCCGAGAGGGTTGTAGCGAGGACTCTTGTGCGTAGCTACCGTCAAGATCTCGGACCCGGAAGGATGATGGATGGTTGGACTGATGGGAAGAGAGCGTCGGAGGTCGTCGGGGGATGAGATGCTGATGCTGCTGATGATGAGGTTGAGGTTTATGATGGGAGAACGGAGATGGAGTAGGAAAGAAGCCGTTGGACTGTTGGTGAATTTTAGTGGCCTCGAAGAAAGAAAGAAGGGGGGCTGATGCCGGCCACCCACAGCAGCAGCCCGCTCCACCCACCGCACCAAAAGTTCGGCTCGCTTCAGGGCAGGATTTTGGGGGAGGGGAGGCGTGAATATAAAGAGACTGGTGTATCTATATCAACCAATCCCCTGATTTTACCCTTCCCACAGGTCTATTGTTATCGAGTATATTATCAGTGCAGCTCAGCAGCAGATTATGCTCCTTGTAGTCTAAGGTTAGTACATTCCATGGAAAAGTTGGGTCCGTATGTTGGTAGCATAAAACAGGCGAGCGAACACACAACTACTGGTACAGACAGTTGGTCGATGGTTCGATGGTCGGGTATCTTCGTGTCTCTTCCAAGAAGTCCGGGCAGGATTGCATATCTTCCTTTTCTCTCATGGCAACGTATCCTTTTCCGAAGATACCGATGACAACCACACCACCTTGATTGAGTATGAACGAGTGGGAGAGGCCTGGGATGTGCTTGGTGTTGCAACGCTCATTCAAATGGTGCAATCCAAAAGGTGAAGAGGAGAGGTGGAGGCAGGTGATTCGTCCTCAGACACTTTAGTTCACGCCCTAGGGGGTGTTTCTAGTAAGCCTCCATCCCTTCGCTCACCCACATTTTGCTAATAAGTTACGCAGTAATGTGTTAGGTTGGTGGGTTGATTGTGCGTGGCTAAATGGGCAATAGGCAATGGGCTCATCCCCCGAGCTTCCAAGGGCTGACGTGCGTCGTTTGTTTCGGGGGCGGGCAGGTCAGGTCTCGTCGTCGATGAAACATCTTCTTAACACTGTGTCCACGACATACTTCAGCACCTCTTGAGACAGTTCACCAAGGAGCTACGCACCCCAAGGATACTTGCTTACTGGAGCGTGTGGAGCTCGCATTTAGCTGTGGATGCACAGCATGGGGATGAGAACAACAGCAGAGGCGCAGCCGACATTCGAGCCCACTTCCAATGGCATCCGATTGATCCAGACCCTCAGCCAAACGGCAGACCCTCGAACTCGAGGTGTGCGACGCTTTGTTTCACCCACGGGCCATTGGGCTCATTCTTCCCGTACTGGATCTCTGTTCAGAGTTCGAGATCGTCACGGCACCACAGCACGATGGCCCATCTCGAGCCCATGCATGCTGACTGACTGACTGACTGACTGACACACACCTTGAGGGACACCTTCCATTGGCCTTGGGAGTGCTGTCTGTCGATCCTTCTATCGCATTCCACGAGCCACCTCGATCTTTAGGGCCTCAACTGAGTCCAGTTCAACTACGAGTGATGGGTGGTTTTACACGACAGCTATGGGAAATCCTTGTTGTCTTGTTGACAAGCAGGCTAGGCAAGGCACTGGTATGCAGCAAGTTCGCCTCTTCCCCTTTGCTAGCCCGCACCCACCACAGCGGGACGAGCCACCTGAATGGAGCACGCTACCACCAACGAACCGTGCCCTACATCGACCTATGCAAGGGGCTAGCAGGACGCTTGCGAATGAAAAGCAGCGATACGCATGTGCCTTGCTTCCAAGGTTCGCTTTGCTTGCTGAACTGACGTACGAACTGCTCATCCATCTTCAAAACGAATGACACGCGGCTGGTCGGTCGTGGATATCCATGCATTCATCCAAAGTCTGTGTCGTCTTTTGATCCACTTTCCTTCTTTCCCTGTCTCACCTGTTGTGGCCTCTTTCAAGACTCAAAAAGCAGGCCAATTGGAAACGACCTCCAAGCCGGTCGGCAAAGCCGTCCGAACTCCCTCGCATCCCGCTATCCATCTCGGCTTTCCTGTTCTACCACTTCCACAATACCTAAATCCCGCATCAGAGCCCGTCATACAATGCGATTGTTTTGCCTTTCCCATCTGACACAGACAGGTATGCAGGGCGATGCTTATCGATTGTACTTTGCCCCTTTGGAGAGCAAAGTGATGCTATGATTGAAGGTCCCCCGCCAGCTCATACAAGCTTGCCTCGAAGAGTTAGATCTCAAATCATCACGAGCCATCGGAGATTTTCGTCCTCGGATCATAGCCATTCGCTAGCACGGGTATTGTCACAATTATTTGATAAATTGGTACACCAAATGCCCACCACTAATGATCAGCCGCAAGACTGCCGCTCAAGCGAGATCTTGTGTATAACATAACATCACTTCTATAACTTGCCAGTCTCCCCGCATTTTGAGATCATGCACTTGACAATAACGGTCGTATGCGTAATGCATAGTTAATATACCTCATGACTCTTGTTGCCACTGCAATATAAGCCGCGGCGGCTTGTGGGGACGGCGCTGTATATCGCATGCAAGACTAGCCGGCAAGCAAAGAAGGCTCATTACAGCCGCCAACAATGTCGAAACTAATATTTACAAATTCTCGAAGCTTCTTAACGTAGATGTATCGGTTCCTCGCCCGGAAGTGTCCGGGAACGGTCTCGATTAGATGAGATATCCCCAATTGTTGCGTGAGGTGACCCATTTGTACCTCGTATTGCTCTGCAAAATATTACTATTCGTGTCATGATAATGTCTCAAGTCCAGATCACAGTGAAGCAACTTAGATCTTGGGGGCATGCGGAAATGTGTTTGAATTGCTGCTTCACGCCTTGTATCGGCCGAGTCAAGTTGACTTCCTTGTGCCGAGGCAGCCATCTGATGGACGAACTCAACACATTGAAGGATCATGACCACTTTCACATAATCCACCACAATATTAGGCCCGGGCGTCGGGGATCCGCTGTCTTCCAATTCCAAACAGTCCTGATGGCAAAGTAGTGTCCTACTGATTTAGACCTGGTCAGCCGTGAGAGATGTGGAGGAGTCTGGGATGATGTTGCTTACCTCGCCTTCCACCACGGGGATGTCCGACGTCCCGGTCGACTCTAAACCCCCTGATGCGTCTGCCGAAGCCGATGCAGCACCTTCCGTCACGGGAGCCTCAGGCTCGGCTTCCGGAGCTTCGCCTCCAGGCGTCTCCACCACTCCTTCTTCTCCGGCGCCGGCACCTCCTTCCGCAGCACCCTCAAAAGATATCGCACCATCACCGACCACGAGGGCAGGCGAGTAAGCACCAAGGTTTATGTTGAGCGGGAGACTGTTGGCAAGCCACGCGAGGGTGAAAGCATAGAGAACGATCCACTTAGCATACATGGCGTTTAACAATTCGATCTAAACCGCTCCGGCGAGTGAATGACAACAAACTTGCGAAAGAAAAAGAAGAAGCGAATGGTTCCAGACCAGAGAAGAAAGAAAGTACGGGCACAGCCCCACGAGCGAAATGTTCGAGATATCCGGAAGATGGTCGGACGAGACAGATGTAGACAGGCACCACGGTGAGTAAATGATGCATTCGATAGTTTGGGAGTCCTTCATCATTTATACTTGAGCTCTCTACTGTGAATGTGCGCAACAGCCTCTTTTCCATTCACTGAACAGATTGAGGCTCCGTCCAGATTCCGAGGCAAGCCAAGACCGGGAAAAGCTTGGCCCAGATTTCCAAATTCTCTCGATTTGCACGAAACAGGGAGATAGCTGAAAGGTTTGGACCATAAACGAGGCTGATGTTACGGAATTGTCCCCGCCACCTGGGGAAACAAGGGTGCGTCTGCACCAACTGGTTTCAGAGCGCTGTCTTGCTGAAACCTGCTAGGTAGTTTTCCATCACTTGGCTGGAGAGATCTGCTTGGCATTCAACTCAATCTGAGATTCTTGGCCCTGCCAAGAAGTGCTGATCCCACGGTATCGGTATTTTTGGCAACATACAGCTGTAACATTATTTATTTGCTCAGCTAAAGTCTCTAGTCATAAAATTGAAGCTTACTCTGGAATTGCATGGTTATGATAGTTTCTTTCCAGCGACAATGCCAGACATGCCCCCGAGTTCCATTGGCATCGTATATTCTTTCTCCAAGATGCTCTTCAGTGTTGGCAGTACTTCTGAAAGATCTCCTTGCCATGCGGCAATCATCTTTGCGAACAATGGATGCTTGCTGTTCAACCAATAATCGAGGTACTCGTCGACTGAGCCGATATTTCCTCTCATGTATACCTGGGCATCCTGTACATCAACAAATCCAACACTCTGCATTGCCTCTTTCACTCGCTCCGTTGTCGTCCAAGCCTTGGGCTCATGCAGTGGCACACGAGTATACCTTGAAGAATCAACTCGCTCACAAGCTTTGTGCCAGGGTTCAGGGATATCAACATTGTAGCTGATGGATACTGCTGCCGCACCGCCTGGGACCAGAGCCCTATAAAGCTCTCTGCACACCGATATTTGTTCGTCACCACAGAATTGAATCATTAATCCTGCAAGAGCATGAGTGAATGACCCGTCAGGAATAAGATTTCGATCCAGATTTCTCCCGTCAGCAACAGCAGTAACAACTCCCGGTATGTTCTGTTGATCTAGGTTGGCTACCATTCCAAGAGCGCTGTCGGTAGCCATGATTCTAGTGTCAGGATATTTCTGCCGTACGGTCCTGGTAATGCTGCCCGTGCCCGCACCAATGTCAAGGACGTTGGAGTCTGGTGTGATGGGACATAGTTGCTCAACCATCTCAACTGTCTTTGCAGAACACATAAGGGTTCCTGGTGTGAGAACCTTGTCAAATGCAGCAGCAGTTTTCGACCAAGGGTCAACAACCTTCGAAGAAGGCTGCTTTTCACCATTCGCGTAGAATGAATTAGACTGAGGTAATGTCGCCATTGTATCTTGATCGTGTTGTAGGCTTAGCCTCATATAATAAAGGTATAAGTGCTTGGCGTAAGGGATCTAGTCAAAACACAGAGAACCCGTGATTAAATACTCGTCACCTTTCAGTAGAGAAGCTATGCTTTACGGCACGGCAGTAGCTCGTATACTCCTAGCCATTAGTCAATAGATTATAATAACAACTGCGTAGTACGCTACAAAGACGAGTTACTAGAACTGGTTAATGTTGCGTTACCAAACTCTGGATGGATACAATTTGAGACAATTGATTGGTACATTTGGCCGATCGTGGATGTGCCGCATAGGGACATAATTAGTCGATCACTTTTGCTGACGACAGAAATGAACCCCTGCTCTCCCTAACCAATTGTCCCATTGAGATAGTGACTGAATGGGATCCACTCTTATACGAAGCTGAAAGTTTACAGTCATCAAACATGTATCGATTTTGAGCATCGTTAAGAATGTGTTTTTGGATATCTGAGTGGATTGGATAGCGGAGTTTTCGAAAAGGTGATTGCTCAACTTCACTAGTATGAGATAGTAGTGAAGCCGGATCTCATTCTGTTACTTCCTACTGAGATCACAGGTTGCGATTTAAATTTGAGACATCAAAAAAGATTTTCCATACCTCATGAGTTGTTGGACAATAAGAGGGGCACTTACGACGTACCTAGTGATATCAGTTTAACTTGCCTTGGTATGAGCCGTTGACTTTTACGTCACTGAAAAAATGTGCAGAAAGAAACCTAGACGAAAAGAAAACCTTGCAATAATTGATGTTAGTTCTGAGATCTCTAAGTTTTGGCATGATGGTCAGAATGGTTATCTTTCTAGAATCCTCTCACAAAAGAGTAGAGTGTGCCACTAGTTGCCTGCAGAGGATGGTAGCCCAGCCCCAGGCTCTTGGATATCGCACAATGCATGGGAAGGGCTAGTCCTAATCCAGTGGCATGAGGTCCTTTAGCTAAAAGACCTCATGCCACTGGATTGGGCTTAGCTCATCCTCGCAACCTTGTCTCTGCTGAAAGATATTCGGGAAATCAACGGAACCACATGTCACCACATTCGTCCGACTGACAAAATGGTGGATAGGGCTTCATTCTCGGCGTCTGACACCCCCGTGCCTCTCCTCTGCCTTACTAGTCTCATTGTCTCCAGCGCGATCAGTCAGAATGCCTTCGAAGACGAGAAGCCCTTTGCGTCGGTTGAAGAGTTTCTGCACCATGTCACCAAATGAGCCCTCTCGAAAGGCTTCCCTCACCTTTCCCCAAACACAACAACTCGACAAAATTTTCCGACGATGAGCTCAACGAGAAGTCGTTGAGTTTTGCATCACATTTGATCCTACCACCATATCACCTTTTTCCACTCTCATCATATCAGCCCGCCAATTTCTCTTGGGTCACATATATGACACGACTCCAGGCAACGCTTTGACTGTTCCCCAGCTCTCTTAGGCAGGAGTTCTGAGATTTCGCAATGGCCAGTCAAGTCTCGTCCCAGAGCTCGCCGCTCGATCTCCCGGGCATTCCAGCGCTCGTCGGAGCGATCAACCTCCACGAGTGGAAAGACATGCTCACCAGTACTCTCTGCTGCAGAGAGCTCGAGCGCTACATTATGGAGGATATCCCCGAGCCTGAGGGCAGCAGGAAGCAGAAGGCGTGGAAACGAGAGCGCGCGACCGCTAATCTGCTTATCAAGAGCTCGCTTTCGAAGGTCCGAACTGTCCTACAAAATGCTGGCTGGGATCCCGAGGTCCAAAATCCCAAATACCACTTCGATTTTGTCTTGCGCGAGATTGCAAAGACACCCGACACGTTGGCTGGTGATGTCGTCCTCGAGTTCACTCATATTGATCGCGCACAATTTGGCAGTCTGGCGGCGTACCAGTCTCGTGTCATCTACCTTCGCCGACGGTTGACCGAACTGGATTGTGCGGTATCTGAGAAGATGTGTATCTGGGTCACGATCAATGGATTGAAAGGGCGATATTCGAGATGGTACAACAGCCTAGCTCGAGCCATGAACACGAACACCTTGTCTTGGGACTCGCTGATGCAGGAGATGACTGCTAGGGCAATCAAGGAACATCCTACTCAGCCGCTGAGTTCTCCCGCTAAGGAGCAAGACATGAACTCTTCTTAAATGGGAAGTGTTCCAGTATCTTCAGAAGTCGTGGGATGCGACCATAGTAGCCTTTTCGCGTGACGTAAAACGAGAACAAGGATAACGACAGCATCTGCGTCGTAGCTATAGTGAGATTTGATCGGGCAATCCAACGATCCTGTGGTGGGCATCCGTCAGTGGCTTCAGTCAAATACACTCGGTAGCTTGATTTGAATAAAATCTGAGTCGCTCTGTATCAGGCTGGGGGTTATCAGATCAGATCCGGTTCCCTGACTGCAATGGTGACTGAACACTACAACATGTCGAAGTTCTCTATATTCCTAGGGTATATATATAGTTGCTGATTTGAAGTCTATATCGATGAGCCTGTCTCTAAGACTCGTTCTCAATGGGTTCGTTCGAGTTAGGAGATTCTTCTACCATGGTTGTTTCTCGTGGCGGGAAACGTGACAAGTACAAAACAGCCATTCCGATGACCGCAATACCCTGAATGTATAAATTAGTCAACCCATTTCCGGGACTTTAGCTCATATGATTACTCACCGCATTGCAAAAGAACGTGAGATATTCCTGGCCAATCTCCGCAAGTGCTGAGAAAACGAACCCGAACAGGCCGAGGGTTGCTAGTCTCGCGATATTCTCGACTAGAGTGATGGCGTTCAACGCATCTGTCCTTTGAGAAGAAGGACACATCTCAGTGATGACTCCCTTGGCAGCCGGGGCCGTTCCCGAGCCGAATGGGAGAAGGAAGGCAGCTAAGACATCGTTTGAGCTTGAGGCCTTGCAGTGACAGATGATGATACGTACCTAAATAGACGTGCCATCGCTTCTGGGCCAAAGCAGCGCCTGCCGTTAAAGCACCATCCACGAGCAAACTCCACCGGAGGAAGAAAAGATCGAAGTGACATGAGCTACGATCTTCCTCAAGCACCGGTTTTGGGGGAATGGGTTCCTCTTCAGATTGGGTACCCATTGGTGCATCAAACTCCTCTGGGTGAGACGGAATTCTAGCGAGAGTGTTCTGATCCTCGTCTTTGGTTGAGACTGTCTCAGTTGATGTAGACACCCACCATCGGCGTCCCAAAGCAATGATTCGAGGGAAGATGAAAATGAGGAAGAAACTCCGCATCAAGGCGTTGCCGGACATTAGCCAGCCGTTGTCGGCTTGATTGAATTCGAAGACAGCCGTCGCATACATCTGGATCAGAATGGGCGCATAGCCAGTTGCCAGCACACCAAGGAAGACACCGCAGCACAGGAAGAAAACTCCAAAATGCTTTGCAATATGACCATCGGGGTATCGAATGCGCTGAGGTGCCAATATCCTAAGGGGAGCCAGAAAGCCACCCACGCCTTTCCGCTTGGTATCTTTCTTGCCATCGGACAACGAGTCGGGAGAGATGTAGGGGAGAAAGAGACCAACATATAGACTTGAGAGGCAGAAGAGGAAGAAGGCGACTTGGAAGGGCATCTGTATTCCGAACCGGTCTCCCACCATGCCGCCGAGGAGGTATCCAATGGACTGCCCAAGCATAATGCATCCCTGCAGCCTACCAAAGACAGCGGTCCGCTGCATTGGCTCGACAAGCTCTCCAGCAATTGTATTCACGACAAGAATGTACCCAGCAGGGCCGCCAAGAATTGTGATTAGCTGAGTGCATTGAATGATGATGATTCCCGACTTGCCACCCGCAATGACGCCAAGGATCTGGGTTGCAACACGGATGGCCGGGATGAACGTTTGAAGAACAAGAGCAAACCTGGGACCCCATCTCTTGACCGTCCAGCCAGAGACAAAGAGGTTCCACGTGCCGCAGAAGGTGGTGCTCATTCCAAGTATTGAGAACTGGGTGGCAGTGCCCGCGGCGATTTCATTCAGACTACATCGGTCACCTGTGCCAGTAAATGGCGGATGATTGCTATAGTAGACATCACATTCCATCAAATGGAAAACGTAAAAAATTGGTACTTAGAATGATCAGCAATTGTCCTGTTGAAAATAGACGGAGTGGGCTACCTTGTGTGAAGCTGAAGGACAATGAGATGATAAACCCGGCGAGTAGGATCTTGATGGTATTTGGAGGTCCAAAAACTCTCACCAACCATGACTCTTTGGTCTCTTTCGTAAGTTCATGGTGGTTGCCATTGCGGTTGCCGTTGGCACCGGTGTCGCCACTTGTGTTCGAATGGCCGTTACCATTGAGCAACGGCGTTCTCTCATCACGGTCGCCGGCCATAACTATCCTCCGTCGGAATCTGCGTTAATTACTCACACAGCATCCAACCGTCAGAGAGCAAAAGCCGGAACAGCCGCGAGTTGTTTGAGAAGCAAGAAAAGATCAATTGTTGAAGAAAAACTTGACGACATTTCTTATCCACCGACCCCGCCCGTTGTAGGCGGTTGGACGGATCGCGGTTCGCCGATCGACTGCCGATGCGGGCGGGATGCCGCCGCTATCTCGCTGGTGCAGGTCCATATCGCGCCATTGAGCTGCCCATTTTAGCAAGGCCCGGTCGGGCACCTTCAGGGGCGGGAATAATACGGTGCCATGCGTCTCGCACCCAATCAGACTCTAGATGTCTGCGTATCACTGCGGCATCGGGGCCGATCTGCGTACAGATGCTCACCGTATTGTCCGACTGAGATATCTGCAGAGCCAGGTGCAAGATGTGCATATCGTAGATATTTGGTCCTTTTGTCAACAAGGAGCTATCAACTATCTAAGCTGTGAAACAAAGCAGCTTGGGCTAGCCGCCGATGGCCTGAACACACTCTACGGGCCAGGCAGCTATTGATACTGTTTAGTGATAGAGAACGAACAAAAAAGTACAGAGTTCAGCGTCGAAAAGGGCATCCAACATTACTCGCACATAGATATAACGTACAAGCGGACACGCTGCGACCCTTCGATCAGTCAGTTCTCTCCTTGGCGACTTTGGACTTGCTAATGGCAGGCAACTTGCCATACCACTGCTCGAACCCGTTTTCAGCACAGTCCACCAGCCATCTCGCCAGAGCTCCCCTCCTTGTATAAATCTGCCAGCCCGGGTCCGCAACATATCCGGCATGCACCGGTCCATCCTCGCGGTCTTTTTTCCAGCTTTCCTCGTCATGGCCCCCAGGAATGACCGCGATTCGGTACACGGTCCAGTCGAGGCCCTGGGCTTCTTCCTCGAAGACTCGCGCTATGCCAGTCACGGTGCGATAGGCCGATCCCGCAAAGAGACGCACAAAAAGAACGAGAAACCATCGAAGGAGTGAGGTTCCATCCTTCGGATCATAGACTGACAGTGTACTCATCGCTAATATGCGCTTGACCGAGTGTTTGCGCATCAGCGGGAATAACGTTGCATAGTAGCCGGGATAAGGTGACGGCTCCGGCAGCCGCAACGTATTTGGCCCGAGGAGAGAGAGGACTATGTTACACTTTGCAACCGCAAGATCAAGTTTGTTCGCGTCATCCATCTGACCTTCAATGACCTGTCAGGCTTGTCAGTAACCCGAAACAAGCGTGAACTACAAGTGTCGCCTATGCTGGTTATAGGTGTGTTGTGTTGCCCACATGCAACATTGCAAGACGTACCTCGAGGAGTGGGTTGCTGGCCAAGTCGGCGGGGATCTTGGAGGCATTCCGAACATATGCCACCGTTTCGTGCTTCCGGTACAGTAGCTCCCGCAGAAGGCAGATGCCGGCAGGCCCTGTGCCGCCGAGGACTAAGACTTTAGAGCCGGGCATGTCGCGATGATACTCGACCCGATCAATGAAATTCAATGGGTTTCCATTCAATCAACAGTCAATAATGATTAGAGATCGTACATAGGCATCAAGTCGGCCAAATCAATCTCCAATTGGCACGACGTTCCCTTCTTATATTTCTTTTCCAGGTCTCGAGATACAGCCGCGCCATCTCTCATTTGCTCGAGAGACTGTCTTGGCACAAATCGATGACAAATGAGCCCCGTGATCAGAGTGCCGGACCTAAAAAACATCCGCTGAACAGTCGGGTTTTCACTGCTGCAACGACCCGGATTACTGCAGCCACGTTAGTGTTAGTGACCCATTCATGATCAATCCCGTTTTCGGGATGCTTTTACGCCTCTTTCTGAGCGCCACGTTTTAAACTAGGCCCGCCGTTTCGGCGGCCTCGAACAATTCCAGCAGTACTATGTACTTGTTGTATTCAATTAATTATTCGTGTGGCCACGGCTGTTATGTTCATGGTTCCCAACTCAATGAAGCAAACTTACGCAAAACTCGTCAACTGAATTGTCTTTCGAATGATACGGAAATAGATCAGTGTTTATTACACTTTGTTGAACTCTGCTTATTTTCTGGCCCGTCCAAAACTTTCTGTTCGCCGCATCTCTCAAGGTTCTCAAGGGCCGCCCCAAATTTGTCACTCCTCACAGTCCTTTACAAAGCTCCAGCCAGTAGTGCTCCCAATGCACCTAGCACCCACGAACCTTTGTTCAGGGTCGCGGCTCCTCCGATGAATGTAGCTACTGGAGTAGAATGCGGCTTACTAGCCGTGGCGTTCATGATGCCGATAGTTGGTTGACTTGCTAGCGATATCGTTGCTGATGCCATGATGTCTGTCATGGATGCCTGCTCAGTAGCAGTCTCACATTCGGTAGAAACTGCGCCTTCAGTAGAGGACGGAAGGTCAACACCCACAGAAGCACACAGTTGCTCGGCATATTCAGCCGCATCTAATGAATAAACAGTAAGCTCGAAGGGTGTCGAAATGGGATGATGGATAAATACCACTGGCTTCTTGCTTGGTGCAAGAAGAAGAAATACAACTAGAGATAGTGGCGAAGAAGGTCGTATCGGCACATAGGCAAGCATAATCCTTCAAAGAGCAGCTTGTGCTGCTCAAAGAGTCAAGCGTACAGTCTTCCTGTGATTTTTTCAGCATGGATGTTCCATGAAGCGAGTAGTGAGATAAGCATCACGACCTACCGCACAATCAGAGATCGCATCAGCCTGCCCGTACGCCGCCCCGAACAGGGCTGCAAGCACAAACGCTGTGGTCTTCATGACGAGTTATTCTTTGGTTACAGCCGACAAAATGTGCAATCAAAGAACAGGCACGAGTTAGAGAAAGGTCAAATGAATAGCTGAGCACGTTGCTCGGACGGACAACAGTACATAAATATAAGTTCATGGAGACGGGATGTCACTGATGCTCTACTGGCTAACTTATGTTATTGTGAGGAGCCTGCAAACTTTGTTCGTGTCGACCCATGGGTCGGGGAAACAATGATATTTTTTATGTGCAATCATCCCCACAGCATTTAGAATTCGACCAAGTTAAAACATCACAGGAAAGATTCATTGAAGACGACAAGTATAATGGCGCACGCTGCTTATCACTGTAGGATCTTTTCCAGGTACTTGATAGTAAAACGAGGACATAGTTAAGCTGAATGTCAAACTTGCCAACCAAATTTTCAGTTCCGTGACATCTCAACATGGTCCGATGACAACTCGCTCTTATTGGCTGCAGGAGCTGTCTCTTCAGCTGTGACCAGGTCGAGTTCCTTGGGTGTCGGATGAGCAACAACCTCGTCACCAAACTTGGCAGCAACCTCTTCGAGAGCCAGAAAACGTGTTTCTGGGAGGAAGAAAAAGTAGATGGTCCCCGCAAATAGGTTGCAAGCAATGAAGACAAAATAAAACCTCCAAGAGATCTCCTCGAAAGCGATAGAGGCAGTGTATGATAGCCAGATTGCGGTGCATGCCTGTGTGAACACAGCAAAGCCCACACCGACACCTCGCAGATCAAGAGGAAAGATCTCTGCAACAAGAACCCAGTTGACACTGTTAAAGAAGAACGAATATGTAAATGCAAATAGGAAGACAAAGGCCACCCCGGCACGGGAGCCCGCCGGATGGGACGAATCGGTGAAGTTCTTCGACAGTCCGGTCAAAATTGCTAGAATCACAGCAAGGCAGAAGCTGCCTGTGATGACAGTGACTCGTCGAGTCCAGTGGTCGGCAACAAAGAAGACGTTGATGATCTGTCCAATGACCGCCATGAACCCGTTCAGGGCACCGATCAAAAGTACCGTCTGGCCCTTGTAGCCCAAAGAATTGTACATTACTGACTGATAATTCTGAATGATATTGGATCCGGAGAGCTTCATCATGTTGACCGTCATACAGGCCAAGAGAGTACGACGCATGTACTTGCGGGTGAAGAGTTTGCCGAAGTTGGCCCTCTTGCTAGTGTTGCCCTCGAGTTGAATCTGATTGCACATTTCGGCGAATTCAGTCTCGATGAACTCTCTCCCACGGTGACCATGGAGGTTGTACATGATCTGCTTGGCTTCGTCATATCGTTCTCGCTTAGCGACTAAAATACATTAAAAATGGTTAGATCCCGTCTCTTGTGTGTATGGCAGTCATTTATGTGGGAATACTCACGCCAACGAGGCGAGTAGGGCAAGAATATAGTAAGAATTGCCAACAATAGTGCAGGCGGTATCTGAGTGGCCAAAGGTATACGCCACTGGGCTTGCCCGGCGGCAAAAGACCCTGCGTAGCCGATCCATCCGGAAGCAAAGAAGCCAAGTGTATTCATAAGCCCCTTCAGGCCGACCAGAAAGCCGCGGTTCTCTGGAGGGGAGAGTTCGGCGAGGTAGACAGGGGCAGTTGGGTAGACCATGCCAGTCGAAAAGCCGGAGAAGGCTCGACCGACAATCATCATAGCCGGACCCTGAGCTGCAGTCTGTAGAATGGCGCCAACAATGCTTACACAGCAGCCGAAGAGCAGTGTCCAGCGGCGGGACAACTTGTCCATGCAGTAAGCGGCACCGCCGCTGCCAAAGGCTGAGCCGGCGTAGTAACCGGAAACGATGCCACCCGTTATCGAGGCATTGGCAGTGAGTCCGCCATACATGTATGTTTTGAAAGTAGATTGTGCAATAGTAGAAGCGATGATACCTGTGTCGATACCGTAGATGAACCTAATAGTAGTTCGAGGGGTTAGTTGAGCTGGCTGTGAATGCTGGCAGCACTACAACGACTATTAAATCAAACAACTTACCCTGCAAGGCTAATTGCTAAGCCGATCAGAATTGACCTAGCCGAATTGCCGCGATGGCCTGTGTGCTTTTTGTCCATATTTCGACCTGCTGTGTCTGAAGTGATTGGGGAAGAACTAATAATGGAGTTTGTGTGTTGCGAGTGAGTCGACCCGTCGGCCAACCTCTGGCAGTATCAATATGTGGTATTTATAACTGAAAAACTGCTGTATTCAGAGCACAGCATTGCTATGGCTCGAGCTAGCTGGGTTCCCCGCATTAGATAGGAAGAATAGGATGATAACCATCCATCATCAGCAGTCACTTGGAGGTGCTCCATCGGCGGTAGGAAGTGAAGACTCTCCCTCTGTCCAAATTCCGGCTTTCGTGCCTCCCCGTGGGGAATTCTCTTTGCTCCACTGGTGTGGGGTAGTCTAGTTTAGCACATCCGTCCACCTCCGATGGCTTTTCCGTCGCACATCCGCGTTTGTCGCCTTGTTGACAAGGCCTAAGCAAGCTCGGTGTAGCCCACTTGCAGAAGGGATGTAGGTTACTGCAAATCAACGTGCTTCAAGAGCCTTGTTCATTTCGGTCCACTCTAAAGATTCATGTATCAATCACATTAATAACAAACCGAGAGATATCTTGGCATCCACGTAGAATTGGCCAATGGATCTTTGTATCAACAGACAGAGGTAGTACTCAATAAAAGTTGCAGATTTTCTTGGCTTTTGAGATCGGTAAAATTTTGTTTCGTTTGAGTTACAGAAAATTTAGCCTTCGAAAGAAATTGTCTCAATTTATCAACAGGGAACGATAAAAGGAAGCAGCCCTCAAGTTATCACTAGAGTAATAAAGAGATTTGTAGATTATATCTCTCGTCATTTGTATGCTAATAAGCTCGGTATCGTACAATATTAAGAGTGAGAAAGCCTTCTTCTTGATAGTGAACAGTGCTGTGTCCATTATCTGGTTCGTAAACAAGATCGATGAACCAAAGTGCTGCCTCATCATTTCACCACTTAGGGATTGCGGCTGAAAAGTCCGGTTGAAACTTTCTCATATAGGTCGTGTCGTCGCGCTTTCGAAGCTCACATTTGAGATATTGCTGGTGGAGGTGCGCGAGTTTCTCTCGGTCAAGCTCGACTCCCAATCCGGGAGTTGTGGGTACTACTACGCCACCTTTTGTCCACTTTAAGTCACCGTCCACGATGACGTCCTCATCACGACGCTTCCATGGCCAATGTGTGTCACAAGCATAATCGACATTGACCGTTGCTGCCGCTAGATGAGTCATGGCCGCGAGCGAGATGCCCAGATGGCTATTGGAATGCATTGAGAGCCGCATGCCCCAGGTCGCGCAGATGGCTGCTAGTGTTTGGGATTTTCGCAGGCCGCCCCAGAAGTGGTGATCGGATAAGACAACTTGAACGGCTTTTTGTAGGATGGCAGGAGGTAGTTGAGAGAAGGCTACTACAGCCATGTTTGTAGCCAGTGGCATCGACGCCCGCTCCGCGACGGCAGCCATGCCCTCAATTTCACCCGCTGGGTCTTCAAGGTATTCAATGATGCCTTCCAATTCTTTGGCAACCCATATGGAAGTTTTAACGGACCACGCGGCATTGGGATCAAGTCTCAATGGCACACCGGGGAAAGCTACATGCAATGCTTTGATAGCTGCAACCTCATCAGCCGGCGGGAAGACACCGCCCTTGAGCTTGATAGCCTGGAAACCGTACTCGTCTATTATCTTGCGCGCCTGTGCCACAAGACCAGCGGGGTCAAGTGCGGCACCATACTCATCGTCGGAGTCTCCTGGGTGCCCTGCCCACTTGTAGAAGAGGTAAGCTGAATACTGGACATTGTCCCTGACACGCCCACCGAGCAACTCGCTCACCGGGATGCCTGCCAATTTCCCCTGTATATCGAGGCACGCAACTTCGAAAGGTGAGAAGACTTTATCGGAAACAGATGCTGTAGTGACCACTAAGATATCGTGGTCAGTAATTGCCTCATGGACGTAGAGAATAGGGAATTGAAGAATTTTCAGAAAGAGTGCACAGATATGTCAGAGGCTACTCCGTCTAACATGCACAAACCAAGACGTAAAAGACAAAATTTGAGCCACGGAAGATAGGTTGCTTACTGCCGGCCATGCCATCTCCATCAGTGGTAGTGTCGTCTACTAGGGATTCACGACATATCCTATCAATCAAGTTTGTGTCGTACACCGAGAGGCCCTTGATTTTTACGGCAACCTTTTCGAGGCGAGCAAGATGAATTGAGTCTCCGTATGATTCGCCCAAGCCGTAAGTGTCATCTGCTACTACCTCAATAATGCTGCGTAGTGCCCATGGTTCGTGCACGCCGACACTGTTCAACAGGGGCATGTCATGGAATGCCACTGGTGTAATAATGACATCCCTGATAGTGCTGCGTGGAGACATGGTTTGTTTTCGGTGGCTTTTTTACTTTGGGTGGGAACGCTGCAGTAAGCTACAGAATTATTTGAGCAGACTGCGGAAACATACAAACGACCCAGTGCGTCTTTATTCATCAAAGGTAAGACTTTCAACCCTATTGTATGCCGTAGGCTGCGCGAACGGCTCGAGCAACCCTTCCTCCGAACCTTGACCTTCTCCGCATGGCATCTTGCAATTAGCGGCGACCGGTGTTTCCGGGTCATGTGCACGATTATAGATGGGGTAACCAGGGACAGGGGTCTGCGACTTCAAAAACATCGGCAAAGCATCGGAGTGGCGTCACACAACGGATCTGCCGTCGCTGGAAGGCGAAGCGGAAAGCCTAATTGGAGCCCTGTCAAAGGGAAGGCAATAGTTTCATTTCACTACAACCGCATTTTATTCAAAGCCGTTCACCATTTTTCAAGTGATGTGTATCTACTAACAACGAAGAATACGCGATGATCTTTGTTATTGACTTGGATAGATACGATTATGATTGAGAAACATGTGATGTTTCTCTTGTTCATTTACAGCTGCACTCCTAAAATCTTCATGCAGCCATAACCCTTTTGTTGATGGCCGTCAGGATAACATAGATTGTCTCAATAGTCGATACGTCAAGGCCAAGTTCTCGACCTCGTCTTACAGGATAGCCAAGAATGATATCAATCTCCATAGGCTTGCCTTTCTCGTAGTCTGTTCGCATACTGCTGCCAATAGGTGGCATTCCCTTGATTTTATCGATTAGTCTGTCGATCAAGTCGTCCTCCAAAGCGACATCCAGCGCCCTTGCAACGTGAATAACCTCTCCCATCAGCTTTCTTGTCAAGGGAATTGCATCTTCTGAAGAGGTTAGCCAAGCGTGAGTGTCCAGGAGGGTAAGCGTTGTTAATGAGTTCCAAGCAGCATTCCAGACCACCTTTTCCCATCGCTGCACTTGAATGTCGGGCACAATTTGGAAAGACGTTTGACCAGCGGCTAATAGAGTAGCAAATTTGTCAAGCCGTTCAGCGTCATAGGCTTGATTGCCACCCGGGTTGGGAAACAGCCCGATTTGCAAATCTTCTGATTTGGTGTGAGTTATGAGTCCAGGCTGGGGCTGTCGCGCGCCGGTCCAAGTCTAAAGTCACAATTCAGTTGAATTAGCGAACTGTGATATCAGAATGGAGTGAATCTATGATGACTCACCACACACGAAAAAATAGTTGCTGTTGGGAACATGCTACGAAACGGTTCCTCGTTGCCAACGCCATTCTGAATAATGGCAATAGTCGTTCTTCTCTCATCGACTCCAAGTGCAATCTGTGGTGGAACGCTAGATTGATCTATCGCTTTGTGTGCACAAACAATGTAGTCGAATTGATCATCCGCTTCGGCAACACTCTTCACCACTTGAAGAAGTCAACATCAGACCACACGGGTGATGATCTTGAAACGATAGTTGCTGACCTTTGTGTGGTTGCACACAATGTTCGCCATGGTTTTGGCTTACGACTTTGATGCCGTTTGACTTGACGGCATCGTAATTAGATCGAGCAACCACGGTAAGCCGGACTTGTTCGGCACGGCTTAAAATGAATGCATAAAAAGAGCCTATTCTGAGGTAAGATTTTAGTTATCTCCGCTATCAAAAGAATGTTCTTGGAGGATATCTTTTTAACACACGCTCCTAGGCCGTAGACAAGCACTTCTATTGAAGGATTGCTCATTTTTGCTCAAACTTCACGTCTTAAGAATTGGTCTTGTCCAGATGGGCTATACATTGGTCACAGAAAATGCAAGACCAGGGCTGCTCTTTCAATGCTCCGGCAAGATTGGGAGCCAGTCTTTGCTCTCACCATAGGGGTGCATGGAGGCACGGGATATCTTTGTGTTGCCAATCTGGAGTCATTGTGCGGGGAAGTGTCACAATGGTCCACTGCGGAAATGCTCATGGAGGCATTTCCGTGCTGTAAGTAAGCGCTAGCAAAGTTCCGTCCCTACCATTCAAGTTGATCACAGTGGATGGATGGGGTACTCCATCCATCAACTAACGATGGATCACGCTAATGCTGCGCGGTTTATTCATATTTCCATTTAATATCATGGATCTTTGCGTCACATAGTCATGAACGACTAGAATTATAGGATTCTCTATAAGGATATTGTTTTCATAATTGCGACTATAGACTCGCCTCGATACCCACTAGGCTAGCAGTTTGCGCTTCGATAGACCTCTTTTCAGCATCTGTAGGTTCGACATAGGGCCGCCGGGGCTTCAACTTTTCTAAAGCCCCCTCAATTCCAGCGTCCTTTGCCGTGTTCAGAGCTGCGGCGTACTTGACGTAGGCGATACCAGCCTTGCAAGGCTGCTCTGCGAGAGCAGCCTTTTTATGTAGATCCATTGACTCCTGAAATTTGCCCGCCTGGTACAACTTGTAGATTTGTACGATTGTCTTGGGAAATACGTTGGCAAAGCCTGCAATAGTGCCAACGGAACCAGCAGCCAAACCACCTATCAGGAAATCCGACTGTCCTCCAAAAGTCGCAAAGGAACCTGCCGGAAGCTCGGCCGCAAGTCGTGTAATTTTAGCCACGGCACCACAGGTTAACTTTACGCCAACGATGTTTTTATGTGTCCTTGCCAGGTTGGCAATGGTAGCCGAATCGAGATCGATCCCATTGCAGACTGACGGAAAATTGTAGATGATGATAGGGAGTGGGCATTCCTTAGCGATATCATTGAAGAAGTTGTTGATAACCACTGGCGTAGTCTGCTTTCCAAAGTATGCAGGGGGCAGCAGAAGAACATAATTGGCGCCAGCCTCCACGGCGTCGGTGATATATTCTAATACTTGCTTGGTTGAGTGGCCACCAACTCCAGCCATGATGGGGTACGATGGCCCGCATGCTTGCCTAGCAGTTTCCAAGAGGGTCTTTCTCTCCTCACGTGTCAGGAGAAACGTTTCAGCATTGGTACCCAGTACAACAAGCCCAGCAAGGCCAGTTTTGGAAAGGTATGAGAAGTACTTTGCTTGTGATTCTGTGTCGAGTGTGTCTGTGCTATGGTCGAAGAAGGTAATAGTCGGGGCCCAGACCCCGCTTGGCGGTACTGTAGTTGAAGACATGATGGCTGGTTGCTCCAGGTCAGAATAGAAGTTGGCTTGATTTGTGTAGAGAGTCGCACATAAATACTATTGGAGATAGGGGTAGGTTGTGGGGAGATACATAAAGCTCTTTGCGTGGTTAGTGGTTAGATGGAGTGTGTTGACTTAACCAAACACCAAGGCTGCTTTTCTCCCACTCCTTCCCGGCTTGCTCATCTCAGAAAGTCATATGGAGAAGAGAAATGATCATGGGGGCTGGTAGGTGCTCGACCTAGATTCTCTTCCATCGAGTACGGATGCATACCTAAGTGCGCTAATGGCGGATCCGCCTTGTCATTTCCGTCGGAAAAACCAGATGCCCCGAATAAGGTAGTTGAATGCCACTCCACTAACGGAATCTCCATCCAAGAACAACAACCCGCAGCTCGCCGGAGGATTTCAGAAATATCAAGTTTATCCGCCTTCGGGAATCAGTGACGGCTGATCTCATGGTTTCGGCCGGCCAAGCTCTACCGGTCTCTGCAGATAATGGAGGTAGGGCCGTGTCTAAGAAGCGGAGAAGGAACGGCGAACGGGTGAGGGTCACTCGGGCGTGCGATAGGTGCAAAACGTAACGGTACTCTTGCTTTCACTGCGAAACATCGACTAACCAATCATCCAGAAGGAAGATCAAATGCAATGGCGAACAACCGTGCGAGTATTGTACGCGCGCCAAGACTAGTTGCACATTCAAGTCTGCCTACGGACGAGGTCGACGGTCATCTGTCATTCTACCAACGGCTGCTGTTGACGCTGGTAGTGACTCAGTCCCAGTTGGGCATGCTTTGACTGAAACGATACCGCAAATTGCGCCTTTACAGACCGGTGATATCTCATCGAGTTATTTGGCTCCCGAAACCTTGGAATACGCGGCTATAGCTCCATCATCGCGAAGCTCCCCCGAGCCGGCTCAAACAGATTTGCAAGGTCATTATGTTGGGCCTACATCAGGAGTTTCATTTTTGCTCAGAGTTCAGAAGCGCCTCCATCAGGCCGTGTCTTTCTCTGGCGATGGGACCATCTTTACTTTCGGCGATGCTCCTCTGCAGATTCCCGATTTCGACCCAAGCTTTTGTATGATGCTCCCTAGGGACGATGCGCAGCGTTTGGTCGATCGATATTTTGATTTTGCTATGCCGACCTACCGTTTTCTTCATAGGCCAACAGTTCAGGAATGGTTCAACGAGTTCTATGACACGCTGGGCACAATGCGTAGTACGCAGGGCGCTCCAGCGAAGGTTGCCTTGCTATTTACGATATTTGCCCATGCAAGGGTATATATGCCCGAAAATGACAGGCCAGGTCCGCCAGACTTGAGGTCAGTCTATGTCTTACTTACAGCAATTCCGTGAAGCAAATAAGCTAAGGCATGATGTAGCACGCGTTACTTCCTCGCGGCAGATCAACAACTCACGAAAGAGCGGGGATCTATACGGTTGACCAGTGTACAAGTCCGTCTTACGCAATGTTGCTATCTGCTTACACAATCCCGTATTAATCATTGCTGGAGTCTGTTTGGAACCGTGTCACGTTTGGCGCTGGCCCTTGGTCTAAATAGATGCCGGCGGCCCGATGCGACAAGCGGCTCCGGCATCGTTGAGGCTGAATCTCGTCGTCGAACCTTTTGGTGCGCCTATACCTTAGATGCTTACCTCAGCGTTACCTTAGGTAGACCACGATCGTTTCACGACGATGACATTGATGTAGAATACCCAGCATGCCTTGATGATCACCAAATCACCATAGACCAAATTAATTCCATCAGTTCGAATAGGAATCTGTCAACAATGCTTGCTCCGCTTGCTCATATTAAGTAGGATTTTTCCGTCTATCCCCAGACAACTTAGCTAACGAGATAGGCTTGCTCGCATTATGAGCAAGATTGTACGCGACCTTTACTCTATCAAATCAATATCAGCCAGCCGTCGGTCAATTCTAACCGAGAGGATTTCAAAGAATCTTAGTGATTGGCGAGTTGAACTGTCACGATTCCTAGATGCCGACTTCTCCACTGCATCTTTATCTGTTCCCCTTTATCAACGACAACGCAATGTCTTGAATTTCACCTATTGGCATGCCATAATTCTCACCTATCGCCCATTTCTCTTGAACAACTTTGCTCGAAGTTCCAGGCGTGGCAGTGGGAACACAGGTAGTGAAGACATAGACACCGAGGAATGCGTGCGGCAATGCCTAACAGCTTCTATGAATACGGTGAATACTATTGATGAAATCTCGACGACCCAAGGGATGTTCCGTGCGTTCTGGGTGAGTGCTTGTCTAATTAAGAGTTGATTGAAAACCTAGACTAAACGAGTTATAGATCACAGCATACTTTGCTTTCACCGCAACAATTGTCTTATATATCTACGTAATTCAGAAGCGAGCATCCCCGCCTGAGATGTACAGCTCCTACTTCGCAGCTGCTGCCCGATGTCAGTCTCACATCTCTATTATGGCCGAGAAAGGTTCCTTGTCAGAACGCTATTGTCTTGTGCTCGAAGAATTACGTATTGAAGCCTTGCGTCAGGCGAAACGCATGAATCCGGCCATGACAGTTGATGGGCCCGACCATAGCACGCAAGGCGATTTCCATATTGCAACGCCCTCAATGCTTATGAATGGCAATAATGATGTCGCTGGCAATTATGCCGAGTTACTGGGAGATGCAGGTGCTGTGGATTTCAACAATGTGCCAGGTTCCACAACCTCTGACTCTTCAGACTGGGGCCATTTTGCGTCGATGGTTTCGTCAGGGTTGGGTAATCTCGACCTGTTTCTCGAAGATAACGGTTTTGGTTTCTAAGAGGTCGAAACTGAATAGCAATATGATTGAGTATTGGTATGCCTATCGCGCTCGTAAGAATTGCGGACGTGATAGTTTACTGATAATAGCTTTTGAGAAGGTCTGCTATTTACTCGTTCTAACCCAAGCAAGCTGGCTGACATGCTGAGTGAGAATGGTCAAAGCTGATGGATGGCACGGATTGATCTGCATAGCCTAATTGCGGCACAAGCAGAGCGACGCGGAAAAGTCCATCCATCGCTGTAACGGAAAAGCCCCTAAGGGTGCCAAGTTCCGCTCCATTGTGGATGGCAAACACGCACCGTCAAAGGCCGTCTCTGCATCACACATGACATGAGACTCTGGCCAGCTTGCATATGTATCCGGATTCGCAATTGTGATTCTATTTAATCATGGCTTCTACAGGTGCATACCTCTGGAAACCGCAATAGGGTTAGCTCGCACAATTACCAAACCCTCCCCTCGTTTAGAGCCCATCTGGCAACAATGGCATCTGCTGTGGCTAAACGCCTCCAAGGCAAGACAGTCCTCATCACTGGGGCCTCTTCAGGCATCGGGCGTTCTACCGCTTTTGAATTTGCTCGCACATGCCCTACAAACCTAAAGCTAGTTCTCACAGCTCGCCGAGTCGATACTCTCAACAAAGTCGCGGCTGACATCGCAAAGGAGATCGGCGATGGAGTGAAGGTTCTACCGGTACAGCTAGATGTCAGCAATGCGGATCAGGTGCGGCAGTTTGTGGCTTCTTTGCCGACCGAATTTCAGGAGATTGATGTACTGGTGAATAATGCGTGAGACTTTTTATCGTTCTTTCCAAGCATATAAAATGTGATTTGCAGAGTAATTAGCTGACCGACTCTGGGTGAACGTAGCGGTCTAGTCAAGGGTGTTGCCAAGGCACCCGAAATTGCAGAGGAGGACATGAACATCATGTTCGCCACGAACGTGCTGGGGTTGATCAATATGGCACAGGCGATCCTGCCCATTATGCTAAAGCGTAACAATGGCGAAGGCGCGGGCGACATCATCAACATAGGTTCAGTTGCGGGCCGCGAACCATACGTTGGCGGTGGTATATACTGTGCAACCAAAGCAGCCGTACGGTCTTTCACCGAGAGTTTACGAAAAGAGCTCATTGCCAAAAGGATTCGGGTCATTAGCATCGACCCCGGCCAGGTTGAGACGGAGTTCTCGATTATAAGATTCGGCGGCGACAAGTCTAAAGCCGATGCGGTCTATGCGTAAGTCTTGGTTATGGTCCCGTATCTGCTACGGGTGGTGCTGCAATAGAGCTAATTATTTGCCTTTACAGAGGTTGCGAACCATTAACACCAGACGATATTGCCGAGGTGATTGTTTTCACTGCTGGAAGAAGGGAAAACGTTGTTGTTGCAGATACTCTTATTTTCCCGAACCACCAAGCTAGTGCTACTATTATGCACCGCAAGTCCTGAAGACAAAAAGCAATTGCGAGCGATTCGCTAATCGGACCATATTGAGAGGGGAAATGCCTTGGTAAGAGTTACAAAGTGTGTTTAGTCTTAATTTGATAATGGATTAGAATCAAACGGATTCAGCTTGACATGCCTGGGTATAATCGGACAAGAAGAGAATTGAAAAAACATGGGAGACCAAGAACCTTTGCCCTCTATGATGAGAATTGAAACAAGCAGCCAGTGTCAATGTTTCCATAGTCAAGTACAACATCATCAGGGGAATTACCGACGAGCTGGTAGGCCACCAAGCCCCAAAAAAGAAATGGCGGTTTAATCCTTCTGCAAAGCTCCATATTACCGCCTCAAAAAAGAATGAAATAAGCTCAGCCTACCTGATTCCACACCAAATGACGCATTCGACGAAAAAAGGATTTCGTATGTGGCTCGCCAGTAACGTGTTTTCAGCCCGAAGCGTTGTGAGATTTTAGCTCCCTCCGCAGGGCAGTCAGCTATGATGATCGACCAAATAGTGCCCAATTGAAGACATGATCCTAGGCGATCCTGATGCTAAAGTTAGGATCCATCCGTGGCATTGGCGTATATCGTAAATATCATCTTAAACGCGCAGTAGGTGCTGACAACGTCGAATATCTTAAATCCTTCAGGCATCAGCCTAGATGCCCTTGTCCTAGATCTTGTTGCTGAATACTTATGAAGCTTGGCCCGCGACTTCATGTGAAATGCCTTGCGCTTGATTCAACTTTCACAGTAATAACCTGGGTAGCTACTATGAGGGCATCGGGCGCCCTATCCATCCTGATCGGGTGTACGCTAAGCTTGGTGCAAGCGGTCTTGGTTACTCACGACAAAACGTTTACCCCCGACCATGTCCTGCGAATCACGAAACAGAACATTTCGGTCGCTTGCGAGTCTCGATTGTCAGTGGTTATCAATGGCACGAGCCCTGGTCCAACGCTACGACTCAAACCAGGAGCATCGACCTGGATCAGAGTATATAACGATATGACGGATAGCAATCTCACCATGGTGAGCATATAGCAAGCATTTGGGGATTATTTGGTAGCATCGTATTGACATAGTCCAGCATTGGCATGGTCTCGCGCAGCGATTCGCACACTTCTCGGATGGAAGCCCGCAAGCTTCGCAATGGCCTATCAAGCCCCTGCACTTCTTCGACTACGAAGTTGAAACGGAAGTAGATGATGCGGGCACTTACTTCTATCACTCTCATATCGGCACTCAAGCTCTTACAGCCGCCGGCGCGCTTATTGTCGATGATTGCGTGCAGCCTCCGTACGACTACGACGAAGAGCGAATCTTATTTTGGAATGACTATTTTAATAAGACGGATGAGTCCCTTGAAGCTGGTCTAGTAGGTGTTCCCTTCGTCTTTGGCGGCGAAACGAATGCTGTGCTTCTGAATGGAAAGGGTATCGGTGTTGGGCATAATGCGAACGAGACCGGTAACGGTACATGCGGACCACCAGTCATCGATGTAAAGCCGGGAAAGACATATCGCTTTCGCTTCATTGGATCAACGAGCCTGTCACATACAAGTATTGGCTTTGAGGGGCACGATGAATTGACCATCATCCAAGTAGACGGGGGACAGTGGACCCAGCCAGCAACGCTCGACAGAATTCAGCTCGGGTCTGGCCAACGTTACGATGTCTTATTCAAGACAAAGACCCAGGACCAGCTGAAAGCTGAGGGGAAGTCGTCTTACTTCATCCAATTTGAGACAAGAGACCGGCCTTCTGTATATCGTGGGTATGGCGTGTTGCGGTATAAGAATTGTGGTGTTTTACCAATTTTACCAACGAAGCCCGTTTTGAGCCTCCCAAACGCAACTTATGACTGGGCGGAATACAAGTTTCAGCCTTTGCAACCTGATCCAGACTTCCCTACCCTTTCAGAAGTCACTCGTCGGGTGGTTCTAGACGCACGTCAAATGATTAGTAATGAGACTGGGCAATGGATTTGGAGAATGGCAAACTTATCATGGACCCAGAATATTGTACAGACACCATTGCTTGTGGACATCTACCAACGAGGCGATGATGCAGTCCCAGATTATGATGCGGCGATAGGAAACTATGGCTGGGATCCCAAGACAAAAGCATTCCCTGCTAGATTAGGGGAGGTATTGGAAATTGTCTTCCAGAATACCGGCTCACTTGCCAACAGTGGAGGTGGTGTTGACGTACAGTGAGTTTTCCTTCTTATATTTTTCGTCGTTGTCAAAATAACATTGCCTCTAGCCCGTTTCACGCACATGGACAGCATTTCTATGATATCGGTAGTGGAAACGGGACCTATAATGCTACAGAGAACGAGGCCAAGATCGTGGCCAGTGGTTACCACCCTATCAAGCGGGACACGTCAATGTTGTACAGATATACGTCGGTCACTAAAGCTGGCCTCGATGCTGGTTGGCGAGCATGGCGTGTTCGGGTCCAGGACCCAGGAGTTTGGATGATTCATTGCCACACCTTGCAGCATATGATCATGGGTAAGTTCGTCTTCCCTTGTGAAAAACATCAGTGTTAACGAGAAGCTAGGTATGCAAACTCTCTGGGTGGTTGGGAATGCTGCGGATATACAAAAAATACCTCTCGAAGAGAGCGAAGGGTACTTCTATTATGGTGGGGACGTCTACGGCAACGAGACATATAATCCACACTGCTCGCAGCAATTTGGCAAAGACAATAGTTGTCCTAGTCCATGGAAGCCATAGATCTGCACCTCCGAAGGAAATGCTTTATTGTACCCCGGTAATGCAATGGTTTGACACTGAAGCCCATCTTCGCACCCACCGGCACCAATAGGGCCAATTAAGACATACCGATCACCCCATGGAATGCCGTTGCGTGCTCACCATACTGAACTATATGGCCGAAGAATATATGCGATATCCAGACCCGCTATTAGACAAGAGTCTTGATAAATTTCCACTAGTCAATCCGAGACATCCATGGCGGTCGCAGACTGACAGTCTATAAGGTGTACTTCATCCCACGAAATGTTACAGGATTACACAACCAGAGTGAACTGATCTCCGTCTGTCCGTGAATGGTTGCATATCAGCATGCATACACGTCGGTGCATTATTACATCAACGACCGGGGCATGTTGACTATTTTAAATTGCCATTAATTGATCATGCTTCGTCTCTTCACTTCCGATACCTGAGAACCCCGAGATTGAGTGGAGAAACCTGGGGTAGTTGAGCACCTGACAGGAACGTTTCGGACGGTCAAGTTCCGCACTTGTGAATTACAGAAATACGGAAAGAACATACCACGGCTGAGCTGGCCACAACTATCTCAAAAAGATCCTTCTGGGAATAGCGGGGACCACACAGCAGAGACCCTTGGAAGCTCCTCATTTGTAGATCCTCAATGAATCCAAGACTGCAAATAGCGTGAATATCAATACAACCTCGACATCAATGTAACAGCATAGAACATTCTATGGGCAAGCACCTTTCTTGGAAAGGGGACACGGCCCGTTTCATATAAACACTGCCATCACTGTAACACTACAAAATATATAGTGCAATGCCGAGCTGTCCGGGTTAACATTTTGACCCCAGGATTAAGGCTACATGACAACGTCTTGGCGCATGAAAATCACTTATAAGCCGTCCTTCGTCTTGCTGTGCGATATTACCGACAGTTGGATTCCCTGGTAACTGGAAATAGTCTTTCTAAGTGGACTTTATCCGCTTCTCTGCAAATATGAAGTTCATCTTGGGCCTTGCGCTCACACTCTCCCTGGTCATCAAGGAGGCTTACGGTCATTACATCTTCGAACAGCTGTCTATTGGCTCCACTAAGTATGGCGTATACCAGTATATCCGCGAAAACACTAATTATAACTCCCCAGTCACAGGTGAACTCCATTTACAAACATCTTTTTCATTGGACAAGCTTAACATGATTAGATCTTGCTTCGAACGATTTACGATGCAATGTTGGTGCAAATGGGTCTAGCACAGATACCATTAGCGTGAAAGCTGGTGATTCCTTTAGTTTTACTTTGGACGTTGCTGTTTACCACCAAGGTCCAATCTCACTGTGAGAATCCACATCACGAATAGAACATCACATGCTGACTGGCCAGATTTATGTCCAAGGCTCCATCTACAGCGAAAGAGTACGACGGCAGCGGATCATGGTTTAAGATATATGATTTCGGTCCTACATTTAGCAACGGTCAAGCGACCTGGCCTATGTACCGTGAGTTATTTAATGCCAAAAATTTTATTCCTAGTTCCTGAGCTGATTGAGTTTTCTCAGAGACTTACACCTATACCATTCCTAAATGCATAGCCAACGGCGAATACCTGCTGAGAGTCCAATCCCTCGCCATCCATAATCCATATCCAGCTGGAATCCCCCAGGTAATTAAGAAAAGATAAATAAAAAAAAAAAAGAAACTTTGCCTGAGTACGAACTTACGATTCAATTAGTTCTACATCAGCTGTGCACAAGTCAGCGTTACGGGAGGTGGTAGTACGACACCTACACCGACAATTTCGATTCCTGGTGCCTTCAAGAGTACTGATCCCGGATACACTGTCAATGTAAGTTTTATCAGAAGCCTTGCCACTATGGATAACCTACTCATCGGGATAGATCTACACAAACTTCAACAATTATACGGTACCCGGAGGACCAGCGGTAAGTTCCATTCTTGTAGCTTTTGAAGAGGGACGCTTATATCGAGTAGTTCACCTGCTGAGTTTGGCAACCGGGGGATTACTTGTTTGATCTGACATGAATTCGGATTGTGTCGATATAGGTTCTGGTCAAGATTGGACTGAATTATCAGGACCGAGTGGTAGGGAAGATAGGTTTCAAGCCGAAGTCAGTCTGACTATTGAGACTGACGCGTCATGCACCTTTTGAAGTGATTCCTTTCATCGAGATATTTTTAAACAGAAAAGCCTCAATCTTGCCGTAGAAATGGTAACTAGTTTCACCGAACGATTCGAAATACATAGCAAGGCATAAGGAAATACGACAGCATCGCAAATAACTGTATAATGATTCAGTATGCAAACGTATTGACACTATCCATGCTGAAAGAAGTATGAGTAATATAGATATTGATGCATACAACGCCTCGTGATGTTATTATAGAAGTTGAGGCTATCCATGTCCTCCTATCTTTGTGGTCTATCAGCCATGATGCATCCATGTTTGTAAACTTGAATACCCTTCAATGGTTTGCACGATGTCTTGTCCCCCTGTGCTACTCTAACACTGGCACGCATCGTCGATTGGCTTAAAAAGCGGGCTTCCATATACAGGATCAGGCCACGAACACCACCAAACCCCATCAAGGCACCATAGCCCGCCGTCTTTGATTGCGGAACACCAAGGTGGGATTTTATAGACACAACGTAGTGGCCCATACATCTCAGAGGCGTCTTCCACTGGAGTTGGAACCAAAGTGGATGTTAGCTTTGATCATTAGCACGATTTTCTCTCAGAATAAGATGAATGACACAGCGGCTCCTCATACATTTTTATGGTCAGAGGTCGGCAAGGCACAAACCAGTCGAACCATGGTAAATAAACACACAATCGCAATACAAGGGTAACAGAGCATGTTTCGGCAATGCAACTTTACGATTTTGAAAATGGTATTGAAGTGTTGAGGAAATATCTTTTGATTCAAAGATTTGGGGACATATTGGATCGACAAAATCCAGTCTGGACTTTGGGTAGTGACTGGCTAAATATAACAGCGGCTACCCGCACTTCTTCGGTGATGAACGCGGGTGATAGCATTGTGCCATGGCTACGCAATAGTATCGTTAATCTTGCGAAATACTTGGCTCTGTGAGTGTTTCTGTAATAGCCTCCTGTCTGGCCGTCGGGAGCGTACTCCGGGACACGATGGCGAATCTGTGGAGTCTCGTCCCATTAAGTGCTCATCATTGTCCCCTCTCGAAATGTTTTAGAAAAGCTTTGGCACGAAGTGTCGGTTGTTTGTGTACCAGAACAGTTGCACCCTGGCCAGAACGGACCCATGTGTGCATCGAGAGTTGGATACAGGGCATGCATGTCCAAAAAGTTGTGTGACAGAACAGAAAACGGAAAGGCCTCCGAGACCTAAAGGCTAGAACAATGTTACCAATGCACATCAATGTTTCTTGTGCAACAAAGCCAAATCGCCTCTATGTCTCCCCCTTGTCTCTAGCACACATCTTCAAGGCGACACCACCTTACCTCTTCTAACAATCACATATGGCAACCAAGTCATGCTCATGACCACTAATTTTCAATCTGAGGGTACTATTGCTCGCTAGATGCATGTTCTCGATACTGTTCACGTGGCAAGAGTACATAGACATCTGCAAGCCAACCGTTGCTCGCGTTTCCTTGAAAATAAACTGCAATACGCAATTCCATGACATCTCAATGACGATTGAGTCATCATAATTTGCCAATTATTGACGGTTAAGCAAGACTTCTTACTCTGTGCATCAAAATGGGCAGACAAAAAACCAGGCCACTCATTTGTATTCTCGCATTTTAATCGAGGCAGTAGGCACCAATTATTGTTTGTTCTTTGATACCTGCACAGTGTGCATAAGAATGAAAAGTTTCCCTACTCTTTCCTGCAACTAAGTTTATCGTGAGGTACCGTTGCACGTTCTTGCGATATATTAAACGCTTGAGATAGGAAACACCATACAGCGACAAAACATTTAGAATACATGAAAATCTGTATTGACTTTACGATCTACAGCTACTGAACCAAGTAAACCCCACCCTACAAGGAGGTAGATCTGTAGGAAACTCGTCATGAACTCTAGTCAATGCGGCACGACCGTACAAGCATGAGGTGAGTTTCGAGCCACGTCTCTAAATGAACCAAAGGTGGAAGATTCTCTTTGCCGCCGGCATAGCAGCCATCTTCTCGCGGTACAAGTTGATGGCATCCCAGTCATGCTCTCGTCGACCAGTGTCAACATCCATTTGTGCTGTGCGGAGCCAGCCCTGCTTCTTCCAGAAGTAGCCGCAGATCCAGAAGACAAGAACCACAGGCAAGGCCAGCATATCCTTGAACCATCCCTCGACGGTGTTGAGTGCACCATTCTCGGCGCCGGGTGGTGCAACAGCGCTGAAGAACTATTTCTGATGTCAGCCAATGAAAACCATTTTAAGAGGATATGTGTATATGAATACGCACACTAGCAACAAGAACAAGGAAGCACAGAGTCAGGCCCAACCAAGAACCCCAGACACCACCAATTGCCTTGAAAGGAATCTCGTCAAGCGTATGGCCGTGATAAGCCCAGGCTTTGCGGAAGCGTATGTGCGCTAGACAGATGGAGCCCCATGTGAAGAGAGCGGCGAGACCGGAGAGGGAGAGAAGCCAGCCGAACACCATCTCACCATCGGCGTCCAAGTTGATGTAGGCTAAGCATCCGAAGATGAGGATAATCCCTACAGAGAACAGGGGACGACCAGATCGGTCAATATAAGTGAACAGCTTCGGGGCGTAGCCCTGCTGAGCTAAAGCTGTCAGTGTTCGCGAGCCACCGTAGACGCACGAGACACCGATAGACATGACGGAGACCAGGATGATGAAGTTCATGAAGTGGTCGTATCCCTTGAGGCCAGCATCTAATCCAACCAGCACAAAGGGTGAGGCGCGCACATCAACATAGCTGCCGGAGCCAATCAAACGCCCGTCATCAGATCTCACTAGCAGGCCGACGAACATGAGACCCAGAATGTAGAAGCTGCAGCGTGTTAGTCCAGCAAACACGTAGATACTTCGTCGAAGCAGAGTGTGTGGTCAACTTACAGAGTGATACGCCAGAAGACCTGCTTGATAGCACCGGGGAGAGCCTTAGCAGGGTTCGCAGACTCAGCCGCTGCCAGACCGACCAATTCCGTTCCAGAGAAGGAAAAGGCAGCAGTGACGAAGACGGAGCAGAAGCCACGGAAACCGTTGCGGAAGGCACCAGGGTTCGACCATGTTCGGCCGCCCCAGTACTCATCGTAGACACCAGTAGCCGGGTCGGAAGTAGACGGACCACCACCGTTGACAAGGACCATCGCTACGATCATAAAAATGACAATGGCAGAAAGCTTCAAGCAGGAGCTCCAAAACTCTTCCTCAGCGAATCCTAAAGTCCCGAAAACGTTGACGATCACAATCGCAACCAAAAATACAGTGATCCATACAGCAACACTTATATCTTGGTTCCAATATTGCACGACGAGACCACAGACTGTAAGTTCGAGAGGCAAGACGATAGCCCATTGGAAGACGTAATTCCAACCCATGGCAAAGCCCCAGGAAGGATCAATGAAACGAGTCGAATAGGTATAGAAGCCACCGGACACGGGGTACATAACAGCGAGTTCACCAAGAGCATATACTGTAATGTCTTAGTATCTATACAACGTCGCACAGGAGCAGGAAACACCTACCGACGTTGAACATCATGACACCGACGATCGCGAAATCAATGAGCAGTGTAGCAGGGCCACCACGGGAGAGTGCACCACCTGCACCAACGAAGAAACCAGCACCAATCGAGCCACCTGGACCTTGTTAGTATCTCTCGGGTGCCGTGTCCATTTCACCCTGTAATGGCTATAATGCATACCAATGGCAATCATGTGCAAATGTCGCTTCTTCATGGACTGATCAAGATGAACGAGTTCTGCACCATATTCTCGCTTCTGGAAGGACCTGAGGTTCAGACCGTTACGGGTCAAAAAGTCTTCCTGAGTTCGAGCCCGAGGAGTATCAGGAGTACCATGAACTGCCGTGGTGTCTCGCACATAGGCATCCTTGTCACTGCCCGAGGCAGCGACCTCGCCCTTCTCCGCGGCCGATGACATGGTTGATGCGACCTATAGGCTTGGGACAAGGCAACAATAATGAGACGGAGACTTGCAAAGATGCAGAAGGCTGAGACTATCCTACTAGGACAAACAGATAGGCTAGCAATATAGAGATCGACCTACGAGCTGACAGATCGGATTAGGCGCAACAGAGATGGCATCACAAGGACCCAGGAGACGGGGTGCGCAACCCAAGCAGGCTATATATGCATGGAAGCTGTGGAGAGCTTCTCCCGTTCTGGGCTTGCCTCCCATCCTCTCTCCCTCATTCATTACTTCCCTGCTGGGCTGCCTCGGACTGAACGAAGGATCGTCTGCTGATAGACACCTCTCGAGTACTCCCTCGTCCACCTAGCACGGTATTTGCTGGCACAGCGCCGGCTGCATTGGAACCTCTGTGCTAGGCCTCCTCGGCGGGAGCGACACATTCACCCGTTCGCATAGGTCTTGTCGTGTGCGCGCAGGCCAATGGGGGCGGCGACGCCAAGCGGACAAGAAAGACCAAGAGCCCAAGACCGCCAACCGCGAGCATTGGCATCTGTACTGGGCAGGTGGTAAGGCGATGGATACCATGAATACCATGGGGTCGTCTGCTCGCAATGCTCCACGGGCCCACGGTTGCAGCGTCCAAGAATGGCCGAGCCGCTAGAAGCAAGCCAGAGCTGACAGGAAGCAGAGCTGTTTGGCCTCCGCACGGGGCTCGAGGTCCAGTTGGAGGAGCACAAGAAATAGGACAAGAACAGCCAAGGGCTTGGAAGAGCTAAACGCAATAGATAACGATAGGCGACGCAAATGACCTGCCCAATCAATGCTGGCCCGTTGCATTTGCGAGTCAGACGATGATGGATTGAAACTGCGTTGCCATGTTCCTTGTTTCGAAATCTAACGATGATATTTTTTTATAGTCGGTCAATAAACCGACTGATGGGATGCGGATCTGATACGACGCCGCATGCAGTCCAGTGTTTAGCACGGCCGGGGGTTGCATCTGACATGCCGGAGATTTGTAGCTGGCTGATCCGGGGTCCAGACCCTCTTCCTCCAGGGCGCCGGTAAATCAACGTCAAGGAAACTCGTAGTGACCGCATCGTCACGTTCACGGACACGCACTACCCGATTTTCCCACGAGAATAAAGGTATCGCGATCGCCCGCGCTTGGGAAGTCTTGGGAAGCTTGTGTGGAATGAAATTTGCGTGTTGCCTTGTGTCGGACGCTCTTCGGGGGTGGCGCCTTGGCCTTGCGTAGTAGCAGTCTCGGCGACGACGCCACCAAGCTTCGATAAGTGCTTCGATCGGGGGCACGATGGGGTCAGGCCATGGGGCTGTATCTACGAATACTACTCGAGTATGTAGCAGAGTAGAGAAAGTTATGGTCATTATCGGCTGTAATGAGCAGTGTCGCTCTGTCATACCTATTAATCATTTGGTCTTGGTAACTTATCCTTTCCTAGTCACTTCTTGCCAATCGCTCGTCTGCAGATCCTGATCGTAAGACAAGACGTCAAGAACATCGATCGTCTTGACACAATCCAAATAGATTTGCATGAATGATAAGACGTACCATCTACTGGAGAGGAACGCACGCGTTAACGTGATGTTACTCTCAGCCACATATCGAGACGTCACCCAAAGATGTCACTTTAACACGGACACGAAGACCAGCAGCACAATCAGAAGAAGCATGCATCCTTGTACACCCAATCTATAAGTCATGGATTCCAAACATATCAGAAAGAGATACCTCTAAACGCCTTGTTGATATGATCTCTTCCGGTCCTGATCATCGCGCATATCGAATAGACAAAGATACCTCATGAAACCACACACACACACACACACACACACAAGCCGAATTCCATCATCATCTTGAGCGTCGAACATATCGTCAACAATCGCTGCTCTCCCAACTGCATCAAGCTAGACCTTCCACCGACACTGCGGGCAAGGAGCACCGAGCCCTTCCGGCATTCCCTCAATTTGTCCTCGACGTCTAGGAGCCCGACATATCTATCCGGGTATCAAAAAGTGAAAACTCTTGTTTATCCATCACATATTCCGCCATAACTCATCCACAGCTAAAGACAGGCACGATCGCTGGCGCTTGCCTCCACCCGCCGATACCGGGGCGCAAGTCTCAAACCTGCCCTCGACGAAAACTTCCCATTAATTCTTATATTGTGATACTTTTGAAGCGGTTCCGCCAACCATTTTCAGGTTGCGCAGTTCCGTCTCCTGGCGTACCTATCAAAGTGGCAACTTGTATGAAGCTTCTGGCGTCCTTTTCAACTTGTATTCGCCAGAGAGCTTCTGTCTGCCCATGTGTGTAGGCTAGATTGCTCTAATCCATCGTGACAACCGGACGCGATCGCTGCGCAACGACTTCTCGCGCATAGAATTCTACTAACATTGTAGCATATGCCTCAAGATCCTCCACAGGCACAGCGAGTCGGAAATCGTTCAGAAGAAGGAATTGGAGCTCCAGGTGATTGAGCTCGGCTAGGGGAAGACCTCCGACCTAAAATCTCGCAAGTCAGCAAATATCAAAGAATAAGTCGCCCAACAAGCGAGCGACAGAAGATTGGAAGCAAGACCCTACCTTTGCATATCTCGAATTGGTATAAAACACGTCCGAGAAAAACTTGCTGGCGCAAGTCACGCCTGCAATAATCAGGCGATGGATATTGAAACTGTCGACCACAAAGAAGGTCGCTTGCTGATTGATCGGTGCACTTGTGCTTCTAGTAGCCTCTGAGGCAGCGCCGGCGTTTTCCCGACTGTCACTGGCTGGCTTGGGAGCAGTACCCATATCTTGATCATCGTCAGAGTCATCTGCCAGATCCTCGTCTGTCTCGTCCTCCACCACATGGCTCGTCTCATCGCGCATTACAACATCAACTTGGGGCTGTTCCACCACGGCTGCCGCCTGCCCCGACCGCCTCGCGTCCTCGGCCTTCATGACGATATCATTCACACGCTCGGTCATTCGATCAAAGTAAACTAGCAAGCTCAGGAATACCTCATACGTTGTAGGACAGTACTTATGTATCCGTGACAAGTAGCTGAGTATTGTGATTGCTGGAACATTTTTGCCGTGAAAAGCGAGCACGGAGCTGCTCATCGGCGACATGTGGTTCTCTCCGGCCGATCCTTCGTTCTGCGCTTGTGCCTGCTTCACATGATTGGCGTTGCGGTTGAGAGCATCGTGTTGCAAGTCGTTCGTAGTAGTAATCTTGGTGAGCAGGGCAGCAACCATCTCGATGATATCGCTAATGGGCATCCCCGAGATCTCATATTTCATCGCTTGTAGCGGCGGGTCATTCAAGATGCCCGGTCCATTGCCCGAGAGGAGGTCCGCTCGAGCCAAGCTTTGTATATGTGCCAAGTCTCGAACTCGTATCGTGGTCTGAGTTTGCGGCTCAGTGGGAGATAGGTCCTGCTGTGAAGCGGTCCACGGTGCACCAGCATCAGACGCCGGAGATGGTATGGCCTGCGGACCGCGGGAGGTCGTGGCGGGAGGAGCTGCGGTTATTGTGGACTGGGTCGAGGCGGAGGATGACGCTTCCTGCGCGAAATCATGCGCCGTGGAGTCCATATATGACGACCTGATCCCATGCTGGGACTGCGCCAGATTCTCCACCGAACGTGATGCGCTCGTGGCGCTCCCAGACGGTGAGGATGAATCAGGCGGAGATGGGAAGCGCGAGGCGCCGCCGCTAGATGATGTGGTATTCTTCTCCGCTGCAGCGGCGAGGGCAGATTCTCTACCGGAGTGCGCCTGTGATGATGAGTATCGCGATGTCGCAGCTGACGACGAGGACGGCGATGAGGAGGACGGTGGCGCCTGTGCTGGCCTCTGCGACCGTGCCGGGCTGGATGAGGATTGTTGGCGGGAAGGAGCTTCCCTCGACCGGCTGGTGGAGCGATAGTGGGGTGGTTCGGAGTGTTGCTGATTGTATTGTAGGCCGGGGGTCGCTATCATGGTATGGAATCGAGACGGCTCCGTAGCGTAATCACCGATCAGAGTAGCCATAGCATCGTACGGTATCGCGAGAAAAGGATTCGTACGGCAGGAAATCTAGGACTGTAGCAAAGTCCGATGGGGGAGAAGAGGAGGTGGTGGATGATGCGCTGCGATGATCAAGAAGGCTGTGTTGGCGATTAAATGTTAGCGTCCCTGATTCTTTTCGAGAGCTGTGTGCGAGACACGATAAAGGCCCGGGAAGAAATAGAAGACTGTCAACGGATAGTCGACAATAGCAAATCGGCAACAAACGCAAAGGCAAAATAGATGCACGAATTCAATTGCCTTCTCAAGTTTGGGGATATAGAATTGAATGATCTTGCGCAAATGCACCGCAGACAACAACCAGGACTTCCTGTTAGGCGCACACGTCAGAGCCCAGCAAGCTGCCTACGTAGTAGTAGCTCGCCGTGCAGATTCCAGTCCAAGCACGCAGGCAGGCAGCGGAATGAGCGTTGGTTGGCCGGTCGCCGACAGCGAATGACGGCCCCAGATATCTCAGCGATGGCGTCCAAGACATTGAATGGATGACGACCGCAGCCGTTGCTCGCTTTGGGACTTTGGGAATAGTGGCATCAGCTGCAGATGAGGGAATAGCATCATCTCCAATACCTGTGTTTTCATGGCGATGGATAGGCTGAGCTGGGCTGGACTGGGCTGGGCTGGCGTGTGCACACCGACGTCACGCCCGATAGAGGGTTCACGACTTTGAGCAAGAGTAGAACCACGTGTCTCTAAGATGCCGATAGGCTCGGAGAGGGATTACAACAACAATGAGGACGCGACGGGCCAGGGACAAGAAGGAGGTGCAACAAGATGTAGACGAGCAAGTCGAAGAGGGATGAAGATGCTTACCTGGGCAGATAAAACGATGCGTCACAATCGGGCGTCGAGATGTGCTTGGTGCCTTTAGCGAACGGTGATGTACAATACGCCGCAGAATGGGAAGCTTCTTGGAATTGGGTCTACTGTCGAGTGGTGATGAGAGGTGAGGGAATGAAGTTTCGTCGTCCTCGTTTGTCAATGACGGTCGTCGTTGTTGTTGTGTCGTTGTCGAATGACAAGAGCCCAATCAACCGGTCAAACGACAGAGGTTGATAAGAGACAGATAGACAGATAGAGATAGGGAATCGCGCGGCGTTGGGTTAGTATCATCAAAGCTGGTCCCCGGGCGGTGGCAGGTTCGCCTCTCAGTTCAGAGTAGTGGACTGACTCGCGTAGGAGCGATCTCCGGGCGAAGGAGATGCGGCGCGGCGAGTGTCCTGGGCCCCGATGGGATGAGAGACGGCGACGTTAGATGCAATGCAGATGCAGATGCAGATGCCGGCTGGTGGTCTGAGGACGGCGCGGGGACGACACAAATTGACTGATGTTGCAAGTTGAAGTGTCCCAAGGGAAGGCCGACCCTGACTTGGTCGATGAACGGAGAATTAGGAGGGAGAAAGTCCAGGTCGATGATGAGGGACGATGAATGGAGCCGGCAAGTCGGTCGGGGGCGGTGGAGCTGGCGGTTGGTTTGGGGCTTGGAGTAGGCACTTAGGTGGGAACCTCGAAGTGGTGGTTCGATGACCAGCTGTGAATGGACGGATGGCAAAATACAAAAGCAGGTTGACGCAACTTGCTCCCTCCTAACTACCAATTCTCCCCCCCAAAAGATCTGTGAACCCCAATCAAGGCGATGGATGGATGGATGGACAGACGGATGGCGGGACGCTGCGACCGCAATGCGTGGCAAAGTCTCACTGATGAAAGACTCTGACCGCCAGAATTGAACAGGGACAATCAGACGGATGTCTGTCTACACTATCAGGTAGGTATTACTGGCATTACTCTCAAAACTTATTGATCTTCTTGCTCCTCAAGCCTCAATCCCAGCCAATCACTTATGACATAATAACCTCATGATACGTCCACATAAAAACAAGTAGGTAGACTTGGTACTTGAATCAACCCGGAATATTCTCCATTTAACGTAACGAGTTGAATAGGACAACTAACCAAGAACTGACCGGCCGTGGATGTGGACACGTGCGGACATGACCTGCAAGGAAGGCCTTCGAATGTAGATCAGTTGCAGATGATTTGAACGGTTTGAGACTTAAGAATAGGATTGGCCTTCAGCAACGGATGGGAAAGGGCCAATGCAGGTTTGAGGATACTCTGAGATTGGCGATCTGGAGGGCTGCGAGACACTGAATTTCAAGCTCCTCAAGCCCCCTTGCCACGTGGGGGAGCTGCTGGGACTGGGTAGGTAGGCTCGTGGATGACGATGCTCATGGATAGGGGTACATGACACCATTATTCCAGCAAAATTCCTCGGTGGTGTATCTTTTCGAGATTTGCATCAAGCATCTCACGAACCTCTCCCTGGTCATCCCCTTCGGCACCACCCATTTACCATATACTGCCTTTTACAAAGTCGCAGGGAGGGAGGAGTCAATATGTAGACACCCAGACCGACTCGTCTTGTTGCTGATAAGAGCGCACATAACGTAAAGCATCGGCGGCGCTGATCAATCTTAGATAGGGAAAGGCTGCACGCATTCTGTTCTCGCGGTGAGGGCAACCCCAAGCCCAATCAAGCCACCGCGGGCAGCCCATCAAGAACGCGGTTAATTCTGGCGGCGGGATGTGGCCCCATGCAGGGGGTTGGATCTCGCCAGCGAATGAGGAGGCCATCTCGAGGCACACCTCCCAGTACCGTCAATGCTCATCCTAGCACCGGCATGACAGGATATTAGCACTTGCACAATCCAAGCATGTTTGCGCCAGACTCATGTCTTTGCGGTAGCCCCAAGGGGGCCGGCTTTCTCGAAATATCAGCTCTCCAAGTAAATTACTGAGAAAAGGCATAAATATCAATATTGCTCCATCGCTGTTCTGCGAAGCTGTCATTGAGGATGACCCGGCCTGATCTAAGTGATTGTATATGGTTATCGGCTTATGAGAGCCTTGCGACAGAGAGCCTACGCTCGTTGACGATGGCATTCCACGGAGCGAGACAGCCTCACCAACGGATGCTACGGAGGTGGATTATCTCAGATCTTTGGTAGTCAATGCACGATGACCACTTCAGCATCTACTGCCTTCTTGTTTACCGAGCATATAAGGTGATCAGGTTCGATGTGGATATGGACTCTAGTGGGAGATGTGTCTGATATCAGCAGATTGTTTGCGAATGTGACAAGAAGGTTGGGCAACGGTCTCTGCAATGACCTTTGCCCCGGGTTCCAGCCAACCGGTATCGCCTCCAATCATTCTAACTACTAGCCATTTCACCAAAGAGTTAAAGGCCAAGGGCAACTCGGCATCACACCGCAAGACGCCCTTCTCCTGTTCAATGCTCTAATCATTTAGCAGGCCGTGTCCGTCTTGGCTGGACTCTAGCCATAGCAATCGTTGTAGTATTGTACACGTCCACCCAAGTGGACGGATCCTTTCTGACGCCGTCTTATATGTCGCAACCGGCCTCGACCGGTCGTTTAACGGCCTCACCACCATCAACACCACTCTGCCCGATTCTATTGATGCCGTACCTGGTAGTCGGAGTCGGGTAGATACAGATGTCTGTCGGCACCGTTCGCAGTGAGAACAACCATACGTATAACGCCTCCGGAGCTTCCGTCCCACTTGATCGCCTCCTGTAGCGCACCCTTGACAAACTTAACTGCTTCAGCCTCGTCCATTCCCTCCCTCCAGTTTGCGTCACAGTAACCGTAGATATAGGTCGATCCGGAACCGCCAATCGCGTATGCTTGTTTGTGTAGGGAACCACCGAGAGGAATGCTGTAGACTTGTCCACCATGACGCTCATCCCAGCCTGCGATAATGAGACCAGCACTGTAGTCAGAAACAGTAAGCATGACTGAATGTATCAAGGAGTAAAGAGGCATTGCACTGCGAAGAACGCAGCAGCAAGCTATAGTCTCTTGTCCTCCTCTGTGCGTCAATCCGGCCGTGAAACTTACGTTAGTCGGTCCTTATTGGAGTAGCAAATCTCCTGAAAGATAGACGCCGCCGTTTGCGTGGTCGGGGGTTTGCCATTCATCATGGCAAATAGCCCCAGCTGGTACTGAACAATGTCTGCAACGGCTTGTGTGTCGGCGGCGGAGCCTGAACGGCAACACCAGATTGTGTCATGAACACGGGTAAGCTTGTCGGTCACTCGGTTTGCGATGTATGCACCTGTCGTCGTTCGGGAGTCCGCGCCTGCGCAAGACGGTGTTAGTAATGCAACGCAGCAAACCCCCCCGATGGGTAATCTCGAGACATACCGAGAATGACGCCATCCTTGAATGTTACCGCCATACTGTAAAATCATCAGATGCGACTCTTATGATACAATGCCGCAGAACGAGCTCACATTGATGTTCCTAGACTAGAGGGGTTGTCAGCTTCCGACAGCAAAAGTCGGCGATGATGGAAACCTACTTGACTTCACCCTTCTTCAACCTATCCATATCAAGATGAATGCCATCTGTGAAGGATATGTCAGCTTCGCTCTTGCTCTGCTGGCTGAGACAGCTTGTGCTGGCCTCTATTTGAGGCTAGCCGCTGTTCTTACCTTCGCTCAGCTTGCCAGAATGGCCGAACTCCATATTTGTTCGAGATGTTGTGCTGATGTATCGACTTTGGGTATCTCGGTAGGAGTGAAGCTATTCGGCTCGGATTTCTGAGGGTTTGTTGGCAACGGAGATTATGTTCGGGGTTGGAGAAGGGGAAGGCTGATTGATGAAGCTTCCGAGCTCAGGCAGCTCCGACGCGTTGGCTGGCCTCCGCCTAGCCTCAGCTAGGTACAGCTCTGGCATTACCACGTGCGTATACACGTGACTCAGATTCCCGCCCATCATCTCGATAATTGTTTTCCTTCGGACTTCCTCCTGTTCTGACAATTCATGAAATTGTTCAATCAAAATGTATTACAAATGATATTTAGAACAGCAGTACAGTCTAGCAAATTGTTCAAGCAAGAACAGATGAAGAGAGCTTTGAAAGATCCCTATTTCTCAGTCACCAGGACAAAATACTTGCAAGGCTAACACACAATATACAAAGCATGACTTCGATGCTGTAACATATGTATATATACAGGTTATGAACCAACTTTCTATATTACAACCAGAATAAATCGGTTTGGACCTAATCTGTCCCCACTGATTATATGTCGCCATGAAACGCCAAAGATGCACCATATCAACCACCACTGGTGAGTCTAGGAGCTCATGTCAGCCCCTAGAGAAATAATCCAGTGATCCAGCTCGACAGATTGCAACTCACCCTTCCTTCTCGACAGGGACATTCGCCTCGGTCTCTCTTTTCTCGCCTTCGCGTTCCTTGAGCTCGCCGTCCGCCGACGTCTCCTTCACATCTTTATTTCCTTCTCCATCTTTACCCTCCTCGCCGCAGCCACAGTCGTAGAAATCGCCAATCTTATTGCAGTCAAATATGGGTTTCTTGAGCCTCTCGTTGACCTGGTTGTGCACGAAGCATGCCCAGCCAGCGGCCGCATTGCGACTGGATGTCTGCGGCGGGAATTTGGCGAGGAGCTTCTGGAAGTGAGCGGCACAATCTCCGCAGGGGTAGAGACGCGCAAATAGCTGAATGTAGGTCTTCAGCGCCAGGCTGTCGTCTGCGGTAGGCTCTTCGGGGAATCGTGCCATCATTGTATGGAGCAGCTTCCAGGAGGCTCGGCCGAGTTCGGCTCTGCGGAAGGAGACAAAGTCAGCATCAATGTACGGCATCGTTATAGGGCACGTGGGAGAGAGGAAGCAAGTATCTCGCACGAATGCGAAGAAGGAGACGGTTCTCACTTGGCCGTAGCATTTGCCAGCTTCGGCGCGATGGCGCCTCCAGTCAAGATGCTGCCGGGCAATCCGAAGTCGCCCTTTTCCGTAGAGTCCACCTTCGCGGCAGGCTTCACATCGTCTCCCGACTTCTCAAGCGGCGGGCTCGCGGGTGTAAATGGAGGGTTGGCATCGGTTGGGCTGCCAGACATCAACCAGGTCAAGCTGAGGAATGCTACGACAGCCAGCACCACCATCAGCGTGAGGTGTTGCCGCCGCGCCATGATTTCCGGTCGCGATGCGATGCCTAGGTAGCCACTGCAGCGCGGATTGCAACTTGAGAATGAAACGACGGTCGAGTGACGGACCTGCCCTCGGAGGGCAGACAAGTAGCGGTCGAAGGAGCTTGCTGCGAATGCCTCGCCGTAGGTAATTTGTCCTCTCCTCTATTATCGTCCATAAAGAAAGTCGATCAGTCGACGCTGATAAAAAATGGGCCAATCCAGCGAATCTGGAGCGTGTCCCCGTCCCTGGCCCCTGAAGGAGGCCAGCCTGGCGCCTCGGTTGCATCCGAAACTCGGTGTCAGCGCCGCTATGGCCCCCAGGGACACGCTAATAAGTGGGTGTGCGACGCCTGTAACTGAGAGTTTAAGGTTAAGGTTGTGCTAGCGATCTTTGTCGCGTCCCACCAAAGGCTTTAGACGGATTATTGATGATTTCAAATCCTGCTTTACCGATTTCACAGTTCTTCTTCACATGTCTGCTCCAAGACCTTAAGATGAATTTAGGCTTTTCGACACTTTTTCCCCCCTCATTAAAGAAGCCATGGCGTTTCCAAGCTTTCGATGCGTTGCGATACAGTTCAGTCGATGACAGCAGCATGCAGCCTTGATACATCAATTTTGACTTCCACGGAGGTGGTTCAAGTGGTGGAAGAGGCGCTTCAAGATGATGTAATGAGTTACCGGAAAGCACTTGATTCACTTTAAAGATCCTAGACTACTAGATAATATCGACATTCCAAGATGTATGACGTAATCAATCGTTCTTGGTTAAGCAATGACCTTGGTGTTCGTCCTCTCAACCATCAAATAATTATTCTTTACAGGTGTTCTGGCTGTCATGTGTGGATCTATCAATGATACAATTATAATTCGAGCACAAAATCGCGTGCTTTAATATGTCTCAGCGGCTCAAGATATGCCATATCACAACCTATCCTCCCCCTTCCTGCCATACGGGAGGAGGCTATGCTGATATGCAGGGTCCGAAGGCCTTGCATGGAAGCTAGACGCTCGCAGACGGGCTCCCAGTATTCTCGGATATACGCTCCGGAAACAGCTCTGCATCCGCAGTCAAACCAAACAAAGCTGACCCAGTCCAGACGTATCGCTCGTATCAGGTCCAGGTGTGGCCGCGGTGTTGTGAGCAGGAACTTTTTCAGAGCGCACAGATCGTTGAAGTGAAACTCGGTCCCGGCTAAGAGCGCCTCGCTGGCTTCCATGTAACTGTGTAAGTGGTAATGAGAAGTCTGTCTTATAGGATATAAGATCATAAGATTCTTACATTCGCCTACATGTTAAGAGAAGGGACAGCCCGCCTAGACTTCCCCTCAAAGAGTTTGTTTGCGAACAGGAAGGGAAGATTGATGGTATTATCCATTCCTCGGAGGGATCTTGCCGTGAAGGTTGGAATACTCGACACAGAGTATCCTCGGCAAAGAAGTAGTACTCATAAATGCTTTTGCGAATCTCGGCGGGAAGTATTGATAGAGACCCTAGGTGCGGTTGAGCTGTTCTGGATTCTGTTGCGGTGATCACGAGAGTATCGGGTATACAGGACAAGGTCATGGTCTCCAATGATGGTACCAATCGTCTTCAAATCGAATAGACCAGCCTGAACATAATCTTATCAAGCAAGTGGTGACTTATCGTAGTTTATAATCTATCATATGCTCATACGGAGAGTAGAGAACCATCAGGGTTCTTGATTATCATGGCCATCGAGGTTCTCGCCGCTATCTTCCTAGTGGGCACCGATTCGAGACAGGCAATGTCATTTGCACCTCTTCAAGGTAAGTACATATCCGTAATTCCCCCTCGTGTCGTCGCATGAAGTAACGATCACAATGGAAAAGGGTTGAAGATGCCAACAAAAATTACGCCTGAGTACCTCCAGAGGAAGCAACCAGGATGAGTAGCGCCACGATGTACAATGCAGGCCCTCAGCCCACTGCTCGGTGTCTATGATCTCCCAGCAGACAGGACATGTAAGTATGATAAAGAAAGGGACGTAAAATCTTGAAAGACATCTGGGCGCTCGGGTCTATATACTCGACTGAGCTGGTCCGTGCGAGTCTGTAAACTTCTGAGTATTTGACGAGTGGCACTCAATGGGAGACTTCAATTGGAGAGATGTGGGTGAATTGGGTTTGAGTTGATTGTAGCCTACATTAATGGTTGACACTTGGAATAATCAAAGAAAATTTGGTGTCGAGCCTGAGATGAAACGTCCTTAAAGATCACAAAGAATCTAAAAATGTGGAAGACAAAGCCCATCACTCAAGCATTCGAGTTTGCGAAGGCCCGAGCTGAATGATCAGAAGCACCACATAATACGTCGGGGTTCTACAATGCCATTCTGGCTTGTGTGTTGGCACCTATATCCTGATCAGCTCGGGCTTGGCTCTGTGAATGCCAGGCCAATCGCGGCAAGCCGGATGCATGCCCTCAAAGATTCGCTCCAGGGGCTGCATGATGTGGTTTGCTCCCTGACATGTCTACTACATGTGACTGATAGGAGATGATGCAGATACCCAGCAGACCTTGCAGTTTTGCACGCCTTGTTGGATGCCTCTCAAGTACAATGCTGTACTGTACACCATTCGGATCGTGGGGTGGGGGCGGGGTTACACACAACGGAGCTGCATGGCGACGGCGGGATCGGGCGATCATAGATTTATCAGTACGAAATCCAATGCATATAAAACGTCCTCTCCATTGAGAAAATCCCATGTATCTGGGCTCTTTACAAGACCACCCTTAGAATCGAATCAACGAGATTGATGATTGTCTCGAACACAAACGCTCAAAGAGAGGTTTGAGCTTTATGGTCAACTCACCAGGTGCTGCTGCCTTGCAAGATCAAGGAGGGGAAGCCGTCATGCATGACCGCCAGGTCACATTGGACAAGATCGCTGCACAGGGGAACATATAGGATCCTTTTGGCATGCAAAAGGACTGTCATGAGTCACCTCGGCGCGTGGATATCATGAGTTAAGCCCTCTAGGGAATTGTTTGCGTCTTCCATTTTATATAGACGAAGCTGATGGTTTTCTTATCCCTGCCGTGGCGTACTGCCGGTTAAGGATTCACATCCGCCTCTCGCTCGCGTGAATTCCCCAAGAAATGACATGTCAAAATGTCAACGCTACAGCCCCTGGGAAAGCAAACTATTAAAGATAGAAGGCGCCATCCGAGGAGCGGATTCTCTGTGCCTTCAAATACTGTTGCCTGACCGTCTTCACTGCACTCCCGTCGCTCATCCGATGCATTCTGCACTCTTTTCCTTGTCAGGACTTTTGGGCAGGACAGGAGCGGGTAGCTGCATACACCCTGGAAGCTCTGCACAGCAGATCAGGAACTACAGAACAATTAGGGCAAACAACCTCAAAATTGTGATGTGACTAAGCTATATCCTCCGCGACCGAGTCAACAATAGCCCTAAAGGCCTCCACGATTCCACCTCAACATCACAGAGACGTTGAATCGGTTCCTACCACGGTTGAGAGAATGTCGTCCGTTCTAGCGGTCAATAGCCTCTTGCTCTCTCATGAGTTCTAGTAAGGCAATCCGTGTACACAAGGCAGTCAAAGATGCCTCCCGCTTGAAATAGGCTTACATGGTTATAGTCTTGCCGCAGGCACAGTCACGGTAGATACCCGCGCATCAAAAGTGCTCATCATCCGGGATCGCACAAATGGTGAATACAAGCTACCGCGCGGCCGCAAAGACTGGGACGAGACCCTCGAAGCCGCCGCAGAGCGTGAAACCTTTGAGGAGTCTGGAGTCCGCTGCCGCCTGCTTCCAGTCCCCGTGCAGACTCGCGCCACGCCCCCGAAGCAGCACCCTTTACTCTCCATGGCGGCGTTCAACGATTCAGGAGAAGTCAGCCTGGGGGTGCCACTGACGGAGCCATTTGCTCTAATGCAACACTTTCAGGACAATGGCGCGCTGTCTGTTGTGTTCTTCTTCGTCGCTAGCGCTGACTCTAGAGTGGCTTTCACGGGGAATACTCAGAACTGGGATGAGGACTATGAAGCAGTGTGGGTTCCGTTTGGTGATGTTGAGACCTTGCTCCAAGATAAGACTTATGCCGGCATCGCCAAAATGGGCATTGAATTGGCAAAACTCGTTGAGAACGAGTAATATATGCATACACGCACTCAGGACTAAGTCAACGGTTGCAGTGCAGAAAAAGAGCCGTCCCTCAAGGTGCAGGCATTAATTTTAGGAATCATTGAAGATTGTAGCTTTCTCATTATCGTTAGCATGTTGACAAGTTCTAGTATCAAGATCAAGTATAAAAATGCTTTCTATAATGTAAGATCAAACTTGACATGAGAATTGTAGAAGCGCGCCTGACAATGTGGATTGACTTATAAGATATATTCTGATCACGTATCGGAAGACAAAAACAATAAGAAGGGTCATACTCCAGTATTTAATAAGATTACTAGTATGTATCTACTATACATGTAGTTACTTTCGTAAGACATAATTAGATGACGGCAGCCTTCAAAACCTCAAGAATGACCTGCATCGCTTAAGTAAAACCCGCACTGTGCATAAGGAGAAAGCCACCTATAACTCGCAATCATAAAATAACGTGGACGAAATAAAAAGAAATAGAAGAGAGGTAAGTCTGAGCGCCATGTTGACCCAGTCATAGGCACCTAGCTATCCGCCCCTACTGAACCGCCCGCCGCGCTAGGACTGATAATGTTCTTCAATGACTTCACCTTAGAAGGATCTTCTACCATATCCCAAGCAGTCTCCTTCTTGCTCTTGTGAACTGCATCATCTGTCGCGGCCTCAATATCTCCAAGTCGACTCTCATCATCACTGCTGAAACTGCTCGCGCTTGGACTCCGGTTGAGTACCATGTGGACCATCTTGCCCTCTTGTTTCTTGATCTTGACCTGGCCTTCCTTCAGTTTCGCAAGTTCCTTGTCTTCACAATGCATGACAATAACTCCCAGGCCGGGGAAGTTCTGCTCTAGAAATGACCTCAGATCTGGAAGAATAGACTTGTCAGGACGGTATGTTCCGCTATCATTGTCGATGATAAGCTGGTAGTATTTCGGATTTGAAGGCGGTGGCTCTTCCGGTGGGCCGCCAGGAAGTTCCTTGTCAGGATGCGTGCCCTCCTTAGGCTTGGGATCTTCGGAAGAAGTGGGTTTGGCCAGCCGTCTTATAAAGAATTCTCCAGAGCAGGCGATATAAGTAGCAACATCAGAGTGCATTGTATGTTTTGACAATAGGTCAATCCCGAACTCCTTGCCAGTCTCAGTGAAGCGCAGAAGGCCGTCCAATGTCAACACATAGGTGAATATTCTTCCACCTTCGTCAAAATGGGCCATTTTGAGAAACTGTAGCGATGCCTCTTCGGAACGCGGTTTGAATGTCCCGTGTTGTGTCGTTGAGTCATAATTGTAGACCCGCCGATGTTGCTTGTGTAGGGCCTTATTCAGGATCTTGCCTCGTAGGCCATGGCTGGAGAACATCATACCAATGACCGGCCGGAACTCAACGTATCTATGATATAGCTTCTCGGGAATAGGCCCAGATAGCTGTATCTCGTTTGCTTGAAAGCTAAGCAGAGTTAGCAAGACAAAGATGAAATTAGAGATGTGTTAAAAGCGCAAGGACATACTCATATTTCTTGGTCTGCTTGTCTTCGGGATCCTCAGAGTGGCCCCCATCTCTGTTGTCGTCTTTATTCACCTTGATGCCTGTCAAGCGGCCAATCATGGGACTGTAGTGTTTAACCCAAAAGGTAGGGGCCATAGTATATACTTGTGACCCCTTGCCCTCTGAACGACCAAGCACTTCGACACCAATGAGTAGTCGTGGGGTCATGGAAACCTTCCTGTCTACGCCACTGGTGATGGCCTTGAAGAAGTAAGCACGCTTACTACCCATGCGCTTCTTCACATCAAACCACTGGCCTTCGGGGCCAAATCCCTTCCAATTCTCATCAATGTGATGCACTTTTACGGTCACGTTGCCGAGTCTGTCGTCATGGTCTTGATAGTCCTCATCATACAGGCGGCACTTGAGCGAGAATCCAGAAGATGGAATATTGGCTACCACCCACTCCTCCTCCCAGGCGGGCTCGGTCGTCTTGCGGAGGGTTCGTGTCCGCCGAGAGAGGTCGGGGTCTTCCTTGTGCCGTTTTGGGGCTGCCGTAGTTAGGGTTGCGTGGATGAAAGGATCAGAAGACGCGCTGCCAATGTCCGCAGCGGGCAAGTTGGTGGCCTTGTGAAACGTGAACTTGACGGTGTAGCCGGGCGGGGCGTCCGGCAGGGGAGTGTCGTCAAAACCGCCTGGAGGATGAGTCTTTGTCTTAAGTTTGTCCTTCTTGTCAGTGACCTTGTGCTTCAGACCGGTGATCTGTTGCACTGGGCCGGTTGTATGTCTCTGGTCCTGGTCTTGGTCCTCATTCTGTTCTTGACCAGGACTTTGGCCGTGGTCTTGGTTATGACCTTCATCCTGAGATGGGTTCCGTTCCTTCTCTCCCTCATGATCCGCAGATTCATTTTGCCTGGCATGGTCATTACCGGGCGTCGGGCCTCTTATAGGAAGCTCAGAACCATTCACATTGGCATTGTCATCGCCTTGGCCAGCGGTAGCCTCAGGATGCTGTTCTGCAGAGGCCGGATTGCCTGCTTGGGGACCGTCATTGGACCCGCCGGACATGATGAGGGTATCCGCTGGTCAAATCACCAGACGAGCGTTCAATTGAACACTGGTAAACCCAGCGCCGCGCACCAGTCGGCGCAGTGGTTTATATTTGAAAAGCAAGCGTGAATGAGTGGCTCAAAGCGAACCCCTGTCCTGTAGGGCGTTGATGCCAAGACCACCGACCGCCTTAGGTGCGTGGTGGTGGAGGTGACGTTGAAAGTAGAGTGCCGAGCGCCGGGACAGGCGCAGAGTCAAATCACCGCCGCTTTTGAGCAGCAAGCGTCGCGGGGCGGGCAGCAGCGATTGATTGGTCGGATAATAATAATCGGTGCCTAGGTAGGTAGGGACCTAATCTTTGTATCGAACTGAATTGAATGAACTTCTCGTGCAAGTCCAAAAGACGATGAATAGAAGCAAGTAACGTGGAAGTATGTTATTTCTGCTATGAGGTAAAGCGTTGCAGCCGGCGGGGGCCCAACAAGGGAACAGCCGTCGCCCTCGTGCTCGTGGGTGCCGCTGTGCCCGTTTCCTCGTCGCTGCCTCGTGATTCCAGCTCCAGCTCCAGCGCCAACTCCAGCGGAGCCAACCTTCCCACCTTATTTTTGCGACGCTCTACCACCTTACCTAGGTAGGTAGCCAGGTTTCGGCATCGCGGCACCGACAGTCTGGCCTGTGACGTCACACCCCCTTCGCCGTCTCCGGGCCTAACAAATTAACAACTACCTCTTTAGCTACCGCCGTAGATCTCAACGGCTGCCGTCTTTGCCATTCTTGTGATAGCAATTGCAGTTGCAGGTAGGATGCTAGCAGTCTGGTAAACACGAGACTAACTACGGTAACTCGACTCTAGTCGGTCTTGGATATCTGGAGCTCGGAGCCGGTGGTCGTGGTGTCTTCGTGACAAAACTCTTCTGGCTGTTGCAACGACCTCCCTGCAAGCTCTCCCGGCAGATGCCGCGCCCCTCAGCAAATGATCCGTGTATGCACCTTATGCTCTTATGCTCTTATGGGCAAGGGTTCGTTACCTAAGAGAATCGAAATCAGTCGACAGATTTCATTCCCTTCGTGCGTCACATCGGTCCTCCCAGATTCCTTGGATAAGCACTACTTGGCTTGTGTCGTCTCTTCATCTCGAATGAGTCAGCCACACAATTGTTGCCCCATTCGCCCTAAAGGTACGAGGGCAAAATGGCCTATGTATTGCGCAACCCGGCAGTGACTTCTACCATCGGGAATAAGACAGAATATGTAGGGTAGGCAGTCTATATCTGCTGCTTACCACAGCTACTCGACCCTGAAGAGGAAGGAAGTCATCAATGCACGTATTGTCGATCCTGTTTCTCCCTACTCCTCCAGCGATTTTGACTTTTGATCAATTATCACGATGTATTCCATTCGGCGGGCCAAAACCACACGAGTAAAGCACAGCCTTTCATGCTGTATGCGAGGGGTTTTGGTCAGCAAAACCTATTTCGGGTATTTCGATGACCATCATGTGTGATTGGCACAATATGTTCATGTTACACAAGATCCCTTCTGCCCTACCAGGCAATTTCCTGCTCTGCCAGCATCTTGCAGTCTATGAACCTCGTGGGTCGTACATTAGCCTACATCGCCAGATGCAGCCTCATAAGGGATCCTCAATGGACTTGGCGCCACGCTCTTTCCTCAATGCCACAACATTTCCCAATACAAAACATCCAGTCTCCTGCTCTCGTCAAGCCCATCAATCCTTCGCGGCCACATCAAACATGCCATGGCCGCCGCATTGCTGAGTAACACCGAAGCATATCTAGTCTGGAACGATGACGGCTCAATCTCTAGAGTTAGTGGTGGCGGTCTATATATTGTTTTATCCTTGTGTTTCTTATCGGAATCCTGGGCTGGATAGAAGTGGCTTTGTTCATCTAGTGAAACCGTGGTCTCCCTTTTCCAATGAGTATATAAGTCACTCGTCACCCGTGTGGTCTACCACGTAGTCCTTCAATATATTCAAATCTTTCATTCCAAGGCAAAACCCCGTTTATACCTAATTGCAGTGTAGCAGTGTCAACGTCCAGGTGTTTAAACAAAGTCTGAGATCCTCGTAGGACAGTATCTGTTTCGCCGCCTGAAAGAAATTGGCATAGAAACGATCTTTGGTGTTCCGGGAGGTGAGTCTACTACACAATACGCGTATATGGCACAGTCATTACTCATTACTTCAGACTATGAGCTCGCCTTGCTGGGTCTCGTACCCGAAGAGGGCCTGGACTGGATAGGAACCCCTAATGAGCTGGTTGGGGGCTACGCTGCCGACGGGTATTCCAGAGAGAAAGGAGCCGGTGCTCTAGTCACCACGTTTGGTCCTTGCGAGCTTAGTGCCCTCTGTGCCATAGGTGGCGCATTCTGCGAGTCCGTCCCCGTTCCTCATATCGTTAGTTATCCCACGTATCAAGCCCAGGCAAGCGGTCAGATCCTTCACCACACACTTGGAAATATGAGCTATGAGTATGAATCCCCGCTTTCCCTCGTCAAACAGGGAAAGAAGTTGCTCATTTAATGTAGCCATTATGTGAACATGTCCGGTGAACTGTCTTGTGCTACAGCTATACTCAAGGATGCAAACACTGCAGTATGCGAAATCGACGGGGTTCTGAATGATTAATAGCAATGCTCTATCACTCCAAGCCGGCATAGTGAGTATACATTCCACATATCGATCCGGTCTACAGAGTATCAAAGACGACTGACGGCTGCCAGCATTGGAATATCTCAAGATGTCGCATACTCTAAAGTGCCAATCTCCTCTCTGGAGACAAAATTGCAACATCATTAACGCCCAATAGCCCAGCTGAAGAAGTCAAGGTAATTGCTGACATAGTCTCGAAGCTCGAATCTGCCAAGAAACCAATCATAGTTGTTGATGGCGGTGGAGCTCGAGGTAGCTGGGCAGGCCCCGTTCAACCTCTTATCACCGCCCTGAAGGTTCCTTTCTTCACCACAATTCTTGGCAAGGGTATAGTAGATGAGAACGATCCACTATATGGCGGTGTCTATGGCGGCATTGGGTCACTGCCTGAAGTGATCAAGCTAGTAGAAGCCTCTGACTGCATCTTGCGGCTTGGTAACTTGCCATCAGACTTCAACACGTTAGTTTTCAACTTTCAATATGGTGGTTAGAGGAGATATGTTCCTCGCTAACAAAATACGCAGTGGATTGTTTTCTGAACACGTTCAATATTCGACAATCGCTGATTTTCAACGCTTCTTCGTCAGGGTTTGTGGGATTACAGACCTTCTTCTTCCAAACACTACTAAAAGACACAATCTAGATCTCAGATGTGGAGTACGATACCAAAATGGTTCACGTATGTCAACTTCGCGGTTAGTTTATGATGGTCTTACTAACACGCTGAGCAGGTTCTTCCAAAACCTGTTGAGGCTATCAGTTCGAACAAGACCGTATCGAACAGGGTCGACAGCACTCAACTTATTCGCCCTCCCAAAGTTTCTATGCCGCCACATATTTCACAAGACTGGCTCTACGACGTATGTTATCCATCTCGATCAAAATTTGGGAATTAATAGCGCGTAACACTTGGTGTGCAGCGACTTTCATCCTTCCTCCGGCCTGGGGACTTGATTGTTTCCGAGACAGGAACCGCCCAGGTTGGGATCCAATTGACGACATTTCCTACAGGAGCCAAAGGCCGGACCCAAGCTGTGTATGGAAGTATTGGATATGCGGCAGGTGCTGCTATAGGTGGCTCTATTGCTGCTAAGCAGATGGGCACCTTCAAGTGGATGATTCTCCTGACGGGCGAGGGAAGTCTTCAGCTTACTGTTCAAGCATTTGCCATTCTCAATAGGCATGGAATCGTACCCATTGTGTACTACTTCCCAACCATATGTTGTACTTAAGTTTATCTCACTGACATGGGCTCCCAGAATTATTCTCAACAACTATGGGTACACGGTGGAGCGTTACTTCAATGGCATGGAGGCCTCGTACAATGACGTTCCAATTAGGGACTATGGCTTATTATTCCAAGCGTTCTCCCCAGAAGTTGCCGTAAATACGTTCAAAGTTAGCAAGGCTGCGGAGCTTGATGCTGTGCTTGCCGATGAGAAGGTCCAGACAGCGACTTTTCCCCAGGTATGCTCTGAGAAATCTCTTATCAGTCGTGGCATTAACTAACACATCTGCTTGATGAAGTGTATTGATATGATGATGGATCCAAAGGACTGTCCTGCTATCCTCAAAGCTGTTTTGAAGCAATAGCAGAGACGAAGCAGGCATGAAGCTGGACATCTCATATCCTTGTGCGATGGAAGTGTAGTTATTATCTCATCTCGCAGACATTCGCTCGAGTCGGATTTTAGTGCCATTAAAATAATCCTACTGTCTTGAATACTACAAATCATTAGTTGTGGCCCGTGGAGGTTTAGGTCGTCATTACGGGACAAAGTGAGAATCAACTTCCAGCCCCTGAGGACCCTGGATAATGTCTGGAGGCCATTCTGGATCTTGTTGCCACTCAGTCTCAAATGAATGTTCCCCGCTACCTACTGTCTTGTCTACGCCCTGGAGGACAACTCGCGCCTCTCCATTCGGCGGCACCTTGACGGTCGTAAGCATCGTTGATCCCTCACACTTCCAACTCACAGAATATGGTCCGTATGGCGAATCATAAGACGTTGTTGCGTGACGAAGGGTTCCCCCCGGCTGAGGTCGCATGAGAGCTGTCCTCCATCCTGGAGACGATGCCGAGAGACCACCAACATGACTATGTAAGAATGCGCACACAGAACCTAGAGCATAATGATTGAAAGACGTCATCTGTCCTGGGTTTATAGAGCCATCAGGTAGCATCGAATTCCACCGTTCCCACTGTGAATACAGACATATTAGTATTATTTAGACAATTGAACAACAGCTTGGCTGAACTCACGATTGTTGTTGCGCCCATTCTGACGGGATAGAGCCAACTTGGATCATCGCGCTCTTGAAGCATCCGATAAGCAAGATTTAG